TGATTCGGACAATGCTGCTGCTGGAGCATCATGACGGAGTCGTCGAACATCCTGAGGTCCAGTCCGCGGCCCAACATGGAAGTCGGACAGGACACTGGCTTCAGCAGGCAGTCCCGGCTTCTCCTCATTGGACCTGTCCCTGGGCTGCGTTTGTCCTTGCTCTTGCTCTGGCAGTCTGGGCGGCGGCAGCGGCTGATGTAGATTAGATTCGTGCGTCGAACGACGTTTCGGTGGATCTGGAGGCGAGTTCTCGGCACTTTCTTGCCCACTGCTGGCCTTGGTGTGATCGGACGAGGTCGAGATCGAATACCGCTTGTGCGAAGGAGGCGTGGAAGGCGTCGAGGATATTACATCGGATAGATTGGAAGAGGATTTGAAAGGAGAAGAGAGAGAATAGAGGGTCGACTTGGTGGCACGAGAGGCACGAGAAACCGAGAACTTACTCGACGTCATACTGGGCAAGCTGGCTGCGAAGCTTTGCTGGATGTCCTTGAGGCTTTGGTATGGGACCTTGGACCTGAAGAAGCGCAGCGTCACGAGCCGATGCTTACAGACAAGACGAGGATAGCGAGCACCTGCTGTGTCGGAAAACAGGCGGGAGGTGCTAGGTGAAGTATGTTCGGAGCGTAGAGGAGAGGTCGGGGCGAGACTCGAGTCGGAGGGGAGGGGCCTTTGGGCCGGCTGGGGGGACAAGAGTGGGCAGTTCTTCTGCGGCGGATGGGAATCTCTAGCCGTTACGCTGTTTTCCTGCAGGCAGGCTAGCGTTCTGTGAGAAGAAAAGGATGTCAGACCTCAACAGGCGGAGCCCCTGGGCTCTGCTTTCTGTTCCGTCTGTCGGGCGATGCCCTGCGTGGAGAAGGTGGATCGGACAAGGAAAGAAGCCCGTGAGTGGAGGACCTCGAGGTTGCCGGGGGGTGGCCGGTTGGGGTTCGTGGCTGAGAGCGACACAAGTTAGCACCAGGGAAGGCAAGCAAGGGGGAGTGAGTATAACGGCAACGGACGTGCGTTGATGCCGGGAGGAGGTCTTGCTAGGCAATCTAGTCCTGCCAGTGTCAAGTTGAAACGTCCTTGCTTGGTCGCTCGCTATCTTGTTCGTGTTCTGGGCCGCCAAGTCAATTCGTACCAAGAGAACCTGACGAAGCTCCTAACACGCGGGACAAGAGGGAAAAAAGGGCAGGATTTCGGAGACGCCGGGGTGTTGCTAGTGACTAGAGAAGTCTTGAATTTGTGCTTGTCTGTTGCGTTCTAGTGCTGGGCCGCGCGGATGTGAGTGATGAAAAGAAAAGATGGCGTGGGTGTCGTCGTGTTGCTAAGAACCCCAAAGTCCGGTAGAGAGACGCAAGAAAATGACGTTGCTCGTTCCACTCGGTGGAGTAGACCAGAGCAGCATTATGCTTCTGAGTGCCGTTGGCAGCTTTGACCTGCGTCCCGGTACACGGCTGAGCCCAACGAAGGATTGCCTGGCAAGAGGGGCAGATCCAAGATCCAAGACCCCAACTCTAGTCCGTCAAAAGGGGGTCGACAGGGGTGCAAGGGGAGCCAACTGCGCGCTAGGTGCCAGGATTTCTGGAGAGAGGCCCGCGGTTAATACGAAAAGACGCCTCCACCTCTCTATTTCGTGCGTCCTTTTTAGGTCCTTTGCGTCTGGCTTCTGTAGCAACGGCCATTTTTGAGGGAGAAAATAACACCAGAGGAGCGGGTTCTCCCCTCTGGATGATGGACGCAACATCGATGCTCGCATGTGTCGATTGAGGAGTGACACTCTGTCCGCCTCGTCAAACATGATGGCCATCAAGCGATTTCTGGGTGTGGTGTCCCCCTTCAGTGGCGGACGAGCGAAACGATGGATGGGCGGCGGGTGATGATGATCCTCAGCGAAAAGTGGCATCATCCATCCAGTCGTCTGCTAACCCGTGGAGACGTCTGAGCGAATGGGCCACTGCCAGCCTGCCAGCCTGCCTCCCTGCGCCTCCATCGCCTCCGCCGTCAGCTGTTGCATCGACTCGACAGTGCTGAATATAGATCACCGTCGACTATGCCGGCGCCGCACAGCCTGGGGCTAAAGCCAGCCTGCCGTCCTGTCAGACATTTTTGGCTGCGTCTCGAGCCCACAGCGGTCTGCCCTTTGTTTTTCCTCTCCCACACCTCTGGAGATGGGCGGTCGAAAGCCAGTGGATGGCGCACGAGGAACCCCCTTACCAGCATTGTCTGCGGTTTTCACGTGTTGGGCGGTGCTTGGGGCTTCGTCCTGAATCCGAAAGAGACTTCCCTTCTGTGGCGCTACGACGGTTCCACGGTACCCGAGACACGCACCAAGGCGGCAGAGCACACAATATGATGGCTGCCGGGCTAAGTCAGCGGGTACCTCTGTCGTACCGCACCGGCCCTGAGCCTCTTTTCTTTGTCCTGTGCATGTGCTGCTCGTGTCGACGACCGCAAATGGGTGTCTCTCGAGTTGTGTTACCGCATGGTGGCAATCGGCTCGCTGATGTCGTCCTAGTCAGCAGGCAGCTGACCTTTGTGCCGTGACGGAGAAAAAAAGACCCTGCAGCGTGGATTTCCCGCTGATCGGCCCGGGCTCGCAATTGGGTTGCAACCCGCTCGCCGTCGTGTTCCCGGAGTTAGCTGCTGTACCGATCCAATAGCGGGTGTCGGAACGACAGAGGATGGCTAGATCGATGTCGTGATAACGTTTGTGTTCACTGAAAATGCAACCCCACGCCTCTCCCAAGGGATGGAAGAGCAGGCGCCATTGTAATGTCTGATTCTGTCAGGGAGAGACGTTGCAGTTCACCTTGCTTAAGCTGTGCCTTATTGCTCGCTAGCCTACTCGCTGGCCAGTCTGGCCAGTCTGGGTGGTCGAGGGTGGCGAGGGTTGAGACAGCCCGGCGGGCAAGCAAGACAGACCAGGGTCGTCCCCGGAGCGAATGGTGTCATATCACACTGGTCTGCCAGAATTGCGTGTGGCCAGTGTGCTGGGATCACAACGACCAAATCAAGTAGCTTCAAACGTGCGTATTTGGCCGAGACTTCCAAGCGTGCTCACGCATTGCATCGACAATTGAGACGAGCATGTTGTTCGTCATGCAAAAGCAATGAGCACTGCCTAGCCACTGGGTGTCACCGATGCGGAGCTGAAGGCTAAGACTGTTGTATGCTGTCTTGAAGGCATGACAGGCAACCGGGGACAAGAAGTGGACTTGGCAGATGGGAGGAGACTTGCTCACCGCAGAAACCGAAGGAGGCAGGAACCATTCTCCCTGACGATCCTCATGAGATTTTGGCTGCCATCGGTCCTGCCGCCAGTCCCGCCAGCTGGCGTCCCCCACCACCATTCGCTGCACCATTCAGGTTGATGCTCATCACTCTCATTGGCCAGGTTCTGCCAGGTTTACTGATTGCACTCCCCTACACCGCTTTCCAACAGCCTTCAAATATCGACAAGCCAGGCGTCGACTTGGGTTAACGTTCCTTCTTTCCTCCTTAGCTCTCTTTGCCTTTTGGCTTAGGTACCTAGCTTCTCACTCTCTTCGGTCTCTTGGGAGTTATGCTGACATTAATTTTGCAGATCAAGTGTAGTATCTGTGAGGCTCACTTCCTCCTTGCTTTTGGCCATTTCTGGTGGGCTTGATCACTGATGCATCTGCAGGTTCTCATCAAGATTAATCTCTGATGGTTGTCCCAAGGGACATCACTAGATTTATCTCAATTTTTGCCTTTGCTCGGAGGTTGTCCTCTATGCTTGCATATGATCGCCTCCACTGTGTCCCTGGTATATCACTGCCTCCAGGGGACGCGAATGCTCTCTGCATTTTCATTGCTTTCTCTGGCTGGCCAGAACAGCGAAGAAGATGCCTTGCCTCCCCGGAAAACGGACAGGCTACGATGTGAGTTGAACGTGGCTTCAGTCAAGAGACTTGGTCGTCCAGTAAACGAGCCTTCCTGAAGGACACCGATCCAGCAGCATTTCAAAACATGTGGTTCCGATCCCGAGGGCACAAACGTGTCCAGAGGTCAAAAAGAAACGTACGTGGTTTGATATTGCCGTGAGACATGTGCTCTTGCAGCTTGCATCGTCGTATACCTACCTACCTAAGGAGAGATCATCTATGACGCCTTGCTGCACACTTGGCCTCTGTCTTTCCACTGCATAAAACTATGCTATCCGTGGCCTTTTCAAGAGACCATTGAATACATGTCTCTCAGTCGTGGTATCGACGGCACGGGGAGGATCTGTTTCACTTGGGCAGAGTTCGAGACTTGTCACTCGCGTTCTGGACCACATGCTCTTGATCCATCGTCGTAGGTTTCTCGCTTCCGAGTTCCTTCAGCTTGCAGTGCGGCTGAAAGCAAGATGTTTCTTTTAGCGTTTGCCACGAGAAGTGACACAATGGTTTTCAACCACATCGCGAGCTTGACTTAGTATAAGGTACCTTAACTATCTACCTACCTACCTAGGTAGGTACCTAGGCAATGAAAAATGTCGACGAATCCGCAGAACTCCACAAGCGGGCAAGAGCAGTCGTATTCACGGCGGCACCTTCCTTAAGATATCAATGTCAAAAGAATTCGAGCCATGGTGATGCCTACCTGTTGACGACGCAAAGTCTCAAGTAAGGAGGTAGGTACGTATTATCATCAGTGTCATGTGATCAGTGTCATGTGCAAAAACAGGTCCGGAGGGCGGCTACCTGGTGAAAAAACCCTGCATCTTAGCTGGGGACGAGTGTATCTACCCTCACTTTTGGCGTTGGTCTAAAACCAGATACCTTTCGCATGAGTAAGCCCTAACAAGCTGCAGATTCGTCATGAAGTCAACCATCTATCACATTCGAGGTTTGGATATCTGAAATAGGCATTGTTCAACAATAAGCCACTGACAACGTGGGGCCAGGTATATCTGTAGTGTTTGTACTGGTACAGTGACCTCGGGTCAGCCCCCGCTCGCTGGCAATTCAGACGTCATCAACTAAGCAGGCATCACCACTGCTGCGTGGCCATTACGCTCCACCTCCCAGAGCTGGCGCGCACTCATTGAGCAGCGTTGTAAAGCCAGGCTCCTTGATGTAATCTTCGGCTCTCGTCCTCGTAATGTCGATCATCGCGACATCGTCGAGCTCGCCCACATTACTCTCCTCAACCTTGGCCAGAAACCTCCAGCTCCCAACGCCATCCTCTTCGACCCAGTCGGGCAGTCCATCGCCGACATTGAAGCGCCAATACTTTCTGGCCATGCTGCGAGGTGCGAAAGCGTTGATCAGAGAGCGGAACAAAATATTCGCCATCTCGCTGTTGGTAGCGATACTCGCGAGGCCATTCGTAAAGTCAATCGGATGATTGACAGTCGACAAGGTCTGGCTGAGGGGAGTCCCAGTGCCAATACTGAGGAAACAGCCGGTAGTACGGACTGGGCCGAAGACCTGAAGTACTTCATTCCAAAGCCTATCAACGTCAAGTCAGCTCTTCAGCCACCAAGTCATGGATCGGTGAGTACATACCAGCCAATGGGGTTATTAGCTTGAAGGCCTCCATCAACGAATGTCTGGCCGTTGACTTCTAGACGCTTGAAGAACATCGGGGCTGCCGATGTAGCGCGTGCTGCCTCCCAGAGCTTAATATCCGGCAGCTCAGGCATTTGCAGAGGATTCGTATACGACCGAAGCAAGACGGGTGCGTGGTTGTTCGAGCCGTGCGAGGCAACGGCTGTGACGAAGCTGGCGAGGGTCAGCACTACAAACAGCGCCTGCAGGACAAGAACTATACTTACACCTTGCAAGATGGGTTGGTATTGTTCTCGTCACGAAGAGGGACGGAGTCAGGGTCCTGGTTGAGCTTTTCCCTGATGAGATCCTTGATGACTTTCTCGAGGACACTGTGGTCCCATTTCTCTCCATTGACCCCAACTTTGACAACCGTTCCAAGGCTGGGCCAGAAGTGGCCGACAAGACCGGCAAATGACTTGACTTCCTGTACTTGCGGAAATACTTGTCCCATGAACTTGACATAGCTTGCGATGCAATCATCGACACTCATCTCGAGCCGACCCAGCATGATTGCGATGAAGCTAGTTGGCGCATGATCAGTGGGCCATATCAACGTGCCAATATGTGATTCACGTTGACTTACCCTCCAGTGCTGGTGCCGCCGATCATGTCGAACACCTCGCAAGGCTTTCGTCCTGGGCATGACTGGTCCATAACTCTCTTCAAGATCATCAAAGACGCCAAGCCGCGCACGCCACCACCATCTACTCATGGTCAGAATAATCCTCATCAGTCTCAACCAGGTTCGGTTGCCTGCGCGACCTACCCAGTGACAATACACGCAAGGGTCGATCGTTTGCACTGGCCGTGCTGAGCATATCAGCTTTGAAGAGGCTATCTGGTACGGACGGAAGCTGTTCAAGAGTAGGGAACATGACTTTGTTGATGTCATTGAGAGCCTCTTGCGTGCCAAGGACCTTGGCTGCAATAGAACCGAAGTTGAGAGACTCGCGTTCAACTTCAGGCTTACATGTTAACATGGTCATTGTTGCAGTAGGAATCTCACGCTGCTATGGTCAACTTACTCGGGGCGCCCAGTTCCACGACCAGGTAACCACGCTTTGCCGTCAATTTCCAGCCTTGGAAACGAGAGCAAAGCCGAACAGCAATCACGTTGTTTTTCTGCAATTTATGTCAGCACCCCAACGCAGTTGGGCTTGAACAATAGCATACATACTTCGACGAGACGAAACAAGTCGTGGTCCTCAGAGAACACGTTGCCTTGGAGCTGTTCCATGTCAATCCTGACTTTCTGCAGTTGCCTCAAGGCTTTCTTCTGAGATTTTTGCGGTTGACGCAAGAACTCACCCAAGTGAAATCTTCACAGCTTAGAACGTTCTTGTGACTGGACCACGAGAGCTGAATATCATCTTTAACTCGGGGTGTGACGGCGTCTGCATTCTCCATAATAGCAATCTCGAACCATGTCCAGATTCCAGCGGCCTTGTCATCACAGAAGCCCTGATCGCGAGACTCTGTGAAGAGTTGAATGCTGTGTAAACGCTGAATGGTCTTGGTATCTAAGGACTGTATGTTTGATACAATATCGCGGTTAATATTCTACCACGAATTTGTGATGCAAAACAGGGAGACTGACGGGAGTCCTAAACCAGCTGGTGTATTCGATGCCAGGGCCGGATGAGTCCACATGCTTCTTCTTGCCACTGCGTACGGCGTACTTGCCGTCCGGGGCATCGCCCGGAGCCGACGGATACACCGACAGGGCCTCAAGAGCGTCAGGGGCCTGCATAGTGAAGAGAGGTGTGGTTTATACAAATAGCCTTGGAACACGACGATGCTTGAAACGAGGGTTAGATGAAGACTCGTCTACGACTTATATACCCAATTCGTCTAGGGCAGTGACAGTCCAGACACAAAGCAAACGGTTCGTATGAAGAGGCGTACACCAGAGACACAAAAGCCTCCAGACGAGGGGTATGCATTCATGAGTATTTGAGAATATGTCACTTCTGACCGTCAACCTTCATTCGAACGAATAAACGGCCTCCAGAAGTTGATAGGTTGTGATACGCACCGTCAATTGGAGAACTTGACTGTGGCGAGCTGAGGTCACATTCCGAAAATGATATGTCAACGGACAGTACCTCATGGCGAACTAGCAATTGTACTAACGATTTCCTATTTCAATCCCGCCTTGGCTGGTGGCGGGCTGAGCTAGAAGACAAGCCTGGGGCATGGTGCTCAAGGCTGGGGTCGCAGCAAAGGCCTGTTTTGGCAACGGGCAGTGGGGTTTTCAGCGCATCAGATGCACCTGCTGTGGCTTGCCTTCGCGAATGCCCCTTGCGTCTCGCTTCAGCTTCCTGTAGTTATCCATCCTCACCGCACCGAGCGTGCGCCGCGTCCATTCTAGCCATTCCACAAGCTCAGCTGGGAGCAGGTCTGGACCGATCCAGGCGCACGGAGCATTGTCATGACGCGAGGGACGGGCCGCGCATGTAGTTGACAGCGCTAGGCCTCAGCGCATATTCAATTCGGGACGGACAGAATAGGGGCCAAATAAACAAGCACAATACGGAACGTAGATGTACATAGTCGTTGAGGCATGTAACTCATCTTCCACATCACTTTTTTTCTCAGCTTGCAACTCTGCTTGAGCTATCGCATTTGACTAGCTCTTGTTCGCCTTGTCGAGATCCTCCCACACTCCCTCGGGCTTGTTGCTCATCCACAGTCAGGCCTGATCTCTGATCTCCCCAGTTTCTTCACACACCGCACCCTATGGCTTTAGAGTAGTGTTCTCAACGTCGTCGGTGCTATCCCCGTCGTAGTCGGCCACGCGACGGCGGACATTCAATACCTTGTCGGGGACAAAGAAGGCGCCCAAAAGTTGTGGGCAGCCAGCACCGGAAATCTTGTCTCAACTGTCAGTGCTGTCGGTGGCTTTATCGTTGGAGGGCCCGCTGGCGCCTGCGCGGGCGGAATGGCGGGATTTACGCTTGGCGGTCAGATCGAGAATCAACTCAACTACCAAGGTCTTGATCTCAGTGCCGACAAGCTCGTGACCGATGCGCTCATGGGCGGAACTTTTGGAATGGTAGGCGGAGGTGGTGTCGGACATGCCGTCAAGGGCGCCGGAACTATGCTCGCGAAAGAGTTTGGCTTGTTGGCTTTGGAAACTGAGGCCGGCTCAGCGACCAAAACCGCCGTGACGGCCACCACAGGCCAAGCTGTCCGGTTTGATATCTACTACAACCCATTGGCGACGCTTGCTTACACTTTTCCTCCCAGAGCCGTCAGCGACCAAGGTGGCAGCCCGAAGATGTTTCCCAAGCCTGATGATGTAGGGCGACACGACGTGCTACCTGTGTAAATCTGTATCATCACTCGCAATGATTACACAGCCGAGAAAAAGGCTGAAAACTTCATGACGGTAGTTGAATTGGGAAGTAGTTACTATCGATTATCTTTGAAATTTGTCGCATCAACACCTATCGAGCCCAGACTAGGTTTACGCCATACAACGCCTATTGAGACAAATGTCATTTCATCCGTGGTAAAGAGGTTCTTCTAATTCAACCGCCCTCCTATCTGCATCTAGCGCAACCACAGTGCAAAAGAACACTGTGTCAGGTAGGAGGAAAGAATATGCATTCGTATATTCACAGTTTTGTCGGTCTGGAGATGTGAAAAGAGTTGGAGATAGTGTGGTACCTGTCATCATATTGCCTCACCGAATAACATGCGACATGACATCTGGTAGAATTCCCGTGCAAATGTCAGAGTGAAATTCTTTTTCCTCTGCCTTGACTCCTCAAGTTTAATGATCTTCTGGTGTTTCTCTGACTCTTGTCTAGGTGCTCGTTCTGCTACGTCATCCAGCCGTCTTGATCATCACTCGCTGCTTTTTTGCCACTAGTTCAAATGCTGTGGATTCTATTTCCGTCTCAGCCGCAACAAGGATGCGAATCCTTCAAGACATGCTGCGGTCGACAATCCTCACTGCATTGTACAATGAGTGGCAAGTGCCAAGTCACTTCCTACTTACTTGATTCAAAAGGTGTTTGGCTCCTGGATTCCGGATCCCACCCCATCTCGTCCACACAACCACCACCGAGCCTCCCTGCCTCCCCGATGAAGGCACAATGGCCAACGAGAATACGGAAATCAAGGCATTTATATCAGCAACCACTAAGCATTGGGGCAGAAAGATCTTTGTTCACCTCCAGCGGTTAGGGATTCTGTCGCTGGCCTCACTGTTCGTTGGAGGCTCTGTCCTCATTGACGTCGGACGGCGCACGACTGACGAAGGTGTACACGGTGACGCATTCAAAATTCTGCGGCCTGGCTCTCATTTAGGCGTCCAGGTATGGCTAGCCATCCTCGGCGTCGGCTTCGGACTGCTAGCGTATGGATTCCATGAAGCATATAACCACTTTTTCGATTGGACGTGCACACGGATGGCTCAAAGCGCTGAAGGCCTCAACTATGGTCGATACCTGAACTCCTTACCCCGGGCTCCAGTTTCCTACGGCTTCAGAGGCTTCCCTTGGCTCATCACATTCCGCAACATCGTCATCATTTCTGGAACAGCGGCATCCGTGGGGTACAAGTTCGCAATTCGCGAGGTGCCCGATTCATCGTTCAATAAGGCTTTGTCACAAGAGCAAGTGATCTTGCAAACTCCACCACTTCAAATAACTACAAACGGCACAGTCGCTCCTTGGCTTGCAGATACACACAATAGCGAGACATCAAGGTCTTTCCTGCATGGTTTCCGGAATGATGACCCTGAGCATCGTCGGGATCCCCCCAGTATCGTTGTCATGATGGCGACATCGAATTGCAACTGGAACATTCAACCAGAAGATCAAGGGAACCTGTACGAGCGCGAGTTTGTCCTTATTGCGAATCAGAGTACGCACCAGGACCAGGAACCGCCCCCTGCTATGCCACGCGAGGCACCCGACGGCTGGCGACGCATGCGAACCGTCAATTCAGACTGGCCGGCCGGATCGGGAGATCAGTTGGGTAATTTAAACAGGTCACAAGCAATCGTTGACTATCGTATTGAATCATCTCGAGCGATTGAGATGCGGTGGGCGCCAGCGGAGTTGGGGGACAATCCAACCTCATCCTCAACCGAGTCAATACCTGCAGCAAGACATCTTATTTATGAGGTCAGGTATGCCGTGCGCAAAGTTCAACGAACCATCCTAGGAGGAGACTGCGCGACCATGCAGAATTTACTCAATTTTGTGAATCCATACTCCACAACAGCTGAGGATCTTCTCACGAGTATAGTCTCCGTTGAAGACGAGGCTCCACAAGTCAAAAAGCAACAACTATCGTTCTCCGAGCACCACGGTCCGTGGATCGACGCTCTATTGCAGCTGTCCGAGACCACCAGTGCAGACGCCGCGAGTACCTTCTTGAGATTGGCCTTGACCTACATCGCATCGGAGGCAGTGGAACAGAACTATCGTGTCGGACATGTTCCTTTTGGAGAGACTCCGTTCGGTCCTGAGCCCGGATCAAACAGAGACAGAGACAGGGTTTACATGCATATCTGGCGCAAAAATGGAAGTGTCGGCTGTCACCACATTGCCGCAAAGGCATTCATCGCGCTTGGATGCCTTGCCATCCTCGTTGGACTGACTCGGATTGGTGCAGGGCCACCACAGCTTACGTCCTGGATCGGACAACATCTTTACATGCACCAGGCCAACGGAACTTCACTTTTGCAAGAATCCCCGCATGATGAAGAATTAGAGCGGCTATCTACTGGATATGAGGTCGCTGGGCGAACGGCGGGTACATTACGGCTCTGATGCGGGGCGCTGTTTGGCCGTCATGAGGGCCGAAGACCATGACTAGAACGCACAGAAAGAAACATTCCCGTCTCTTCGGACCAAACTTTTCAGGAATTGTATTATTGCTAGCGATACGCCGGACCTGGCGAGTTCCATGAACTTCTGTTGATGTTACGCGCCATTACGTGACAATGACGCATCTTCCACCTGTCCTCGCAATGAGGCAAGTATCATGGCTGCCGAAAGATCACTGCCGCGGCTAACGCTTAACTCCATAGCCCAGCCCACGGGGTTATCGGTCTTTTTCTTGAGGCCGGTAGCATTTCTTGGCACTCTGCCATACCGAGATGAAAACTACACGTCTCATGACAACAGTATTATGGCCTAGCTTGTGAAATGTGGCATGTGTTGACATTCGGCACTTGCAGCGTGGGGTACTGGTGGGGCCTTGGTCTACTAGCACTCGTCTTGTCCTACCTTATAACATTCTGTAGCACACGATTGGGATTTTCACCAGGAGGGCCGGTTGCAAATGATCAAATAAGGGCAACGCTGTGGGTTGTTTACAATCAATTACCAACACGAGGGAACTTGTGTGTCTTGGCTACAAAGTCCGTGGAGCCCGTCGGCGGTATAGTGATAAGCGTACGCCACGAGCCATGGTTGTAGATCACTAGGACTCTCTGCATCTTTATTAAAACCCAAATCACGAAGAGCTACTTCCTAATCTGGCTGCATTAACCGGCGAAACCGCTTACTCAGCGCCAAAGAAGCATATGAAAGTTCCGTAGACTCTATGCCATATCACCGGCTCTGTGGGCCTTTCAGTCCATGGAGTTACCATTTATATCTCAAGTAGAAGACTAAGTCGCCAGATCGGAAAGGTACATCCTTCCACCTCGACACAGGAGACAGCCAACTACATTCTGAGACCTTATTTTCGATAACTCAAGATGCGTTTTTCCATCCTATCATCGGTGATATATATGGCCAATTATTTGGCGTTAACCTGTGTAGCCTTGCCCGACTCTGTCATCGAAACAGATGTTGCTGTTATCGGCGGTGGCGGGTCAGGAGCCTACGCGGCTCTGAGCTTGAAGAAGGATTGAGGGGAGGAAAGTACTCGTGATCGAGAAACGCGCACTTTTGGTAGGATTGGATCCCGAACTATCATTATATGCACTCGCTGACTAGTCCAGGGCGGACATACCAACCTGTGGACAGACCCAGTCACGAATAAGCACCATAGCTACGGCGTGGAGGTTTTTGGCAACTCCAGCATAGCTCCCTGCCGAATGCTTTCACTCATGGATGTGCCTGTCACGACGCCTTCTTTTGCCTCTCGTGACCTGCGCTTTGCTGATTTCAGAGACGGCAAAGCGGTCGACTACACGCGAGCTCCTCCTGAGGAGTGGTTGCCGGCACTTCAGAGACTGGAGCAACAGTGGGTAAAATATGATCATATGTTCTTGCCCACCATGAAGAATTTCCCGGCACCGGAGGATATTCCCAAGGATTTGTTCATGAAGTGGACGGCCTTTGCTCGGAAATACAACGTTGAGGCGGCCACTGAAATCATCCGCACCAACGTTGCGCAAGACCCCACCGACTGAACCGCCATGGATATGTACCGCGCATTTGACACGACGATCCTTCGGGTCTTCGCCGGGACAGGCGACCCACTGCAGACTATCGATAACAACAACCTGGCAGTGTTCGAGAGGGCAATGGAACTGTTGGGCGACGACGTCATGTACGAAAGCGAGGTCATCTCTTCTAAGCGAATCAAGAATGGCGTTCGACTGGTGGTCCGATCCAGCAACGGCCGTACGGTTCTCGTCAAGGCTCGACGACTGCTGGTTGCTATTCAGCCAGATGCGGCCAAGCCTGGATCGCTGGACCTAGATGCGAACGAGCGCAAATTACTGGCCAGATCCACGGCTAATAGGTTTTTCGTTGGCCTCATTTCGCACCCTTCCTTGCCATTTAATACTACATTTTACAACACCATCCCGGAGGCTTCACCGAGAAACCGCTTGCTGTATCCAGCAAACCCATCTTTTGCGGAATTTCGATATGTCGGTGATTCGTCTTCCGGCGGCCTCTATCGAATTGTCCTGAGTGGCCCTCCTGGATACCCATTTGATAACGCCAAAAAGCTCATACGGACCAGTCTCCAGAATCTCATGGATACCGGGTTGGTTCCTACTGGAGATGCAAATGATATCGATTTCAAGACCTTTGATGACCACGGCTCCTTGTACCGCAGCTACGCCGTCAAGGATTTAGAGGACGACATCGTTCGCAACCTCAATGCCCTGCAGGGCGTTCGATCAACCTGGCGTGTGGGGGGTGCCATCGGTACAACTAATCTTTGCATGTTGTGGGCTCAGGTTGATGTCGTGTTGGTGGATCTCACCAAGGGCCTTTAGCTTTCGTTGCCTGAGGGAAACGGGACTCGAACCCACTCGAGGCTTGAAATCGTGACAAGACTTAAGCACAGTCATAGGCTCGGATAGAGCTATCTCGTCCAAAGATTAGATTATCTCGTCTTCCGCTACACTACACTCCACCTCTATATCCCCCGCCGCGTCTACCACGCATCTGCATGCAAGAAGTCAACCAACGTGGTTCAAAGCATTCAATATTTGCTCCCCGATCGATTAATATGTAGATTTCAATGCGCTTGCGCTCATACTGTTGAGCAGCTTGTGTCCGCCGTACCCCCTACAACGGTGTCGCCCTAGATTGGTGGTCAGAAGGCCTAAGCCGACATTGTGACCTCGTCGGCTGCCGTGCCGATGGGAGATGTCTCCAATCCTCTATGTGATGGTGCCACTCTAGGAATAGCTATAGGAAACTAAATCGCGGTATCGCACGCCTGTTGCTGTGTCAGAGATAACGTAAACAATTGCTGTGGTCCGAGAGGTGTTGCTGGGGTGAAGAAGGACGTCTCAATAGCCGCCAAGTAGTGATGATCGATCTCAGGCAACGCCTGATGTCAGACAATAGCTGTCTAGAGAGAATTCATGGTGCCACGAGGGCTTGCCAGTTCGACAAGAAGATGACCGGGCCATGCTGTTAAGGAGTCTTATGCAACGAGTGAAGGAATTGACTATCAATCTCTTAAGGGTCTATAGGAAGATAGAATAATCGATGCCCTCCTCTTAAACTTAGTTCGTGAGCCTTCCTTATAACTATTCCCTCGCTACGCTCGGTCCTCTCTGCTTGATTCCTACAGTTAAATACCAGGCGATCCCCTGTTGGTTTCATACCTCTCTCGGGTCCTGATACATGCATTCGGCGGAACGGTGTGCTAGATGAAGAGAGGGGATGCTAGTGATTGAGTTGCTTGACGGGATGTCAAAGAGGATATGCCAGTCGGGACCTCTGTCATAGTTGCGACGATGAGCCTAGCCTGGTTGATGTCGTGGAGGTGGTTGGCCTAGTCGTCACACAGCGGGCAGCAACCAGGGACCACTATGTACCGCTCGTGGGGCCCGTGGACGCACGACCGCTTCTTGCTGCCATCGGTCGACGTTCTGAAGAAATGAGCACCGGGTCGATGCACGAGGTGTAAATTTAATAGTTTTTCGTGAAGTCGCACATTGTGGTGTGGACAGCGCCGAAGGAAAGAGGACGTCGGTGACGTAGGCAGGGACTTGTAAGCGAGCATACAGATGCCGTCGGATTGTGCGCCGAGCGCTGCCTACTCACTACCGAGTACGCTGGAGAAGTGCCGTCAATGGGGAGACAGTGCGTTCATTCAATGCGGGAGGCGAAAGGAGGACGCTAGAAAGATGCAGAGATGTGATTGCTGGCGTATGTCCGGAGAAACCGAGTCAGCATGTCTTGAACTCGAAGACTGCGTGTAAGCGATAAATTGCCCGAGTTGTTGAGACCATGAGCGTATAAGAGGCCTAGTCACAACTGTCAGTGAGGGAGCACGAGTGGTATATGAGCTGGCACAGGACTGGGGAAGATGACGTGGACTCGGGATCAACTTACATATATGAATGGAGGGGGTAGTTTACATCGGCCGTAACGTTTGTTATAACAACACTAAAAGAAAACCGGGTCTGCTGTGTATTATAATATTCCCCGCTGGAGCGATCATGTCTAACGCGCGGGGAAGACCATGATCGTGGCCGAGACCACCGATTACGGACAGTCTCGGAGGCGATCGGCTCGCAACCCGACCACAAGCTCCAAAGTGCAAGACATTCTACGAGCAGACGAAAACGGCTTCATAGCGGCCAGAAACCCTTCCAAGAACACGAAGCGGACAACAGCAGCCGGAATAAAGGTTGGATTGGACGCGAGCAAAAATACCAGCACGTATGGAGACGCGTTATTGGAGACGTTGCAGCGGTTGAGGGCGCAGGTGGCAGAGTTGAACGGGAGAGCGAGGAACAACAAGCGACAATTCGGGAGTGGAACACCGACATCAGGGAAGCCAACAGCAGAGCCAAGCGATGCTTTGTGAACTACAGCGACTGCTCCTCGAAAACCAAAAGCAGCACCTAGAGGCCCAGGGTAAAACCACTTAGTCCGACGCCATAGGCACCCTCTTCATGCCAAACATCGGCGACACCGACCAGCGATCCTCCAGATGGATTCGCAGCCTCCGACAGGGCTTCGAAGTTTTCGAAGGCGAAGACGGCAGCAAGCTCGCTGCCATCAACGCGCTGCTTGACTCTTGCAACGATGCTTCTGACAATGTCCAGAGGAACGCGAATTACCTTGTGCCGCTCCGCGTGCTTCCAAACCCTGAACTCAGTAACACTGCAACCGGATCTATTCACATGAGGAATTGCACAGCAGCCAAGAAAAGTCAGAATCTTCTACAAAGAGGGAGCTGACTGGACATACATCGCCGCGAACCATACGTTTACAACCGACGAGCTCAATACTGGGCTTGAGCTTGGCACCGACTCTCGAGATGTACGTAGGCCAAGCCAGGACGGCAAAGCCACAATCCACCTGGTTGTTTCGGACGACAACGACCAGGCCACTGACTGGTCGAGCTACTTGTTGCCCCTGTCCTGATGCATCACCACGCGCAAGCTGTGACCAAGGCCTTCACCGTCGTCGCCACGCATAACAACTCTCAGGTCCAGTTCGTCTCCGAATGCGTGGGAAATATCGCGGACGCGGGTATTGAAGAGCCTGTGTACTTTTTCAGCGAGCGTATCGATCGCAACATTGAAATCCTCAAGCTCGAGACAGGCACCGCCGATGCCGAGATTTGCCGCGTCCCTTCCCTCTTCTACTACATTGATCATGCACCTTTCGCCCGTGGCAACTCAAGCGCGCCAAGCCAAGGCAACAATATCACTACCAGGGCCTTCAGCCCGGGAGGTGGCCCCTCTTCCATGGCCGTGTCTATCCTCGAGGCTGCGACGCCCCCGTCTCACAAGAGCCTCGCGTGTCGTCAGACATCCTTGGGCCCCCGCGTGGTAGCACTGCACCCGGGAACGATCAATGATGTAGTGGTTGCGGACTCTATGGTCCTGGCGCCGATTCCTTGGGGCTCAGACATCAACGGCAAGGATACCCTGGCCGATGCCGTCTCTGCCGTCTATGTATTCTAAGGCTGGTTCCAACATCACTTATCAGAATGATTGGTTCTCCCACCATCTCTTGAGCGGTGATGGAGATCGGTGGTAGTCCCTGACATGAAAGGCCTATTCTAAAATTCATCCACCCATATCAACATGCATTACAAGTGGTCCCGCGGGCTGCGAAGGATGAATCATCATGAAGATCTGACACCATTGGAACAAGGGATGGCAGAGTTGGGTGGAAGCGCGATTCAGTCTAACATTCGTCCCGCTCGCACGCGCCTAATAATGAATCGCTCGGTGTCGCCCGCCGAATCACCTCACTAAGCTCGAATAGGCAGTCTGGGGCGACGCAATGGTCTTCGTATCCGGCGGCCGTGCTAGTTCTTCGGTCAACCCACATCCCGGACAAGTCAACCATAATTAGCCTGAGCATCTCCTGTCTACACTGGAGTAATAGAATCCCTCTGGCAGACAGCTAATCAACTACAAATATATCTATCACACTTTTGTTGGCCGGATACCTCTTGAATTAATGCTCAAGGTTTAGGTGGCGACCAGCTAGGCTTGCTAGGCGGGGGCCGGCCCGGCCGCCACGCCAGAGTCACAGCTCTCGGGTGGGGCCGGAAAGTCCGGATACCGAAAGCCCGGACAACACCGAAGGCCCGGACGGTAAGTTTAGTCCATGAGAGAATAATGTTGTTCCCAATCATGTCTCAGTCATGGCGGACTAATCGAGTTCTCCGGCAGTGCGCTGAGGGGAAACCTACATGCTTCAATTGCACGCGAAAAAGTGTCGGATGTAGCTTGTCGGTCATCACTGTTCCCAGAGCGAGAGGCGGTCGCTTCCTGCGGGATCCGAAGGTACCACCGCATGTCTCGCCCGTCCGCAGACACCCCGCCAACCCTCTGTGTGGCCATTGCCTCGCCTGTCGATTACCGACACGTGGGGCCGGGATCTTGAGCTTATGCATCATTACAGCACTATCACGGCCGATACTTTGGTTTTCCGGCCCAACATTCAACACGTCTGGCGTGTTTTTGTTCCTGGCATAGCCTACGCCAACCCCTCCATGATTGCCTCAAAGTGGCCCAGCGATGTGCACCCAGCGACGGAACACCCGGCGACTATGCAAGACAAATCGGCTCGACACCTAACGCGCTGGGCATCTTCGTATTTATCAGGGGAACCCGAGCCGTCGTGCAGCCATATCAATCGCAACTAAGCGAAAGCTCTCTCTCCCCGCTGGCCGTGGCCAGCTGGCAACAGCGCACGAGTCCCTGCACACTTTAGTAGATCCGTCTCTTGTGAACATTCTCACATGTATGCTGATGACAGCGAAAATGGCTCTCCCGAGATCAATCCCGATGGCGACTCTGTTCCTGCGGGCGTCAGTCAAACGTAATTGGCCCGTCCTATTACCATCTCGCACGGGTTGCCGAACCCGCGGAAAGACCCTCGCATTGCAAGGACAGATCAGGGCTGTGACGGACCCCGAAGAGCGAGCCACCAGCTCCACACGATGAGGCTCGTCACGTAAGCATCTAAACTAGACAATAAATATGACCGCGAACAAAGACTTAAATTGCCTTCCGGGCCCATCAAGGTCATCTTCATTCCCTCGTCATAATGCTGGACACCAATAACTAACATTCGTTACCCTTCTGCAACGACGTATACGCGACGCCCCGATCCTTCTCCAGACCCGCCTTCTAAAGCACTATCTTTGAAGCGCTCTCGACTGATCAACACATCAACTATCCCAGCTATGATCGCTGTTCGCGGGGAGGTGCTCCCTTATCAGGGTAACTACTATTTATGGAAGTACATGCCATCGCTAGTGGCTGCTATAATATTTCTTGTTCTTTTCCTCCTTTTCTCCCTCGCCCATACATGGAGGTTGATTGATCATGGTTCTGCTTGCCATTTGCCATTGGAGGCTACCGTAAGTTATCGGCTCTGCATTGACATCGATTGCAAAATACTGACCAGCCGAAGTTGAAGTCATCGGGTGCGCAGGCCGTATCATCTCCCGAAACGCTACCGACGAGCTCTTGCCCTACATCATACAATCCATCTTCCTCTTGATTCCCCCTTCACTTTTCGCCGCGAGCATTTACATGGTACTCGGCCGCATTATCCGTGGCTTGGGACCCCTTACAGAGGCGTATTCCATCATTCGCGTCAAGTGGCTAACTACACTCTTCGTCGTCGGAGATGTTTTTGCGTTCTTGGTTCAGGGTGGTGGCGCGGGTCTCATGGCTTCTGTTGATACCAGAGACATGGGGAACAAGATTGTCATCGCTGGTTTGTTCGTACAGATTGCCTTTTTTGGGCTTTTTGTGGCGGCATCGATCATCTTCGACATGCGCTACAGGCGTAGCCTCACGGGTGGTTTCAGCATGTTGAATAGCAGCATTACCCAGCTCCAGTCCACGCCTCCTTTCGACTGGCAGGCCCTAATAATGATGCTCTACGCTACGTCGGGTCTCATCCTCTTTAGGTGCATTTTCCGCATTATCGAGTACATCATGGGTCCAAACGCATACCTTCTTGTTAACGAGTGGCCACTTTACGTGTTTGACCTGACGCTCATGGTCATCACGATGGGGATTTTCTTGGTCTGGTACCCCTCCATGATCAAGTCCTTTTCTGACAACTCGGAGCCTCGAGATATTGAGATGGTAACTGAGAACACTAAAGTACGTAGGTAGATCAAGAAGAGGGCTCGCCTAACGTTTGAAGGTTTTACGTGAATGCATAGGTACGAATTTACATGGAGACATTCAATGTTGTATGTCCGGGATTAATTATAATAGACGCGCTTGATTACGCAACAAACATGATAGGGCTAAGATTTGAGGCGTGAACAAAACCGAAAAGTACGAGGGCGGCCGTGACATGCGGATCCGATTTCCGCCTGCTCTGGATTGACGACCAACCAAGATAAGCCAGCTGCGATTCCTCTGCCAGCAAGCACTCAACGTAGACGAGCTCACGCTTCCTAAGTCAGAATACTATGGCCTTGGGTCGAAATCTCTGCTTATCTTGCCATTTAGACGAGCCACTGTACCTCCAGGTGATGTAGGCACTATTACAGGGCAAGTCGCGGGCAGAGGATCATAAGCACATGTGAGAGCTTATAACTCGCGTTGAATGAAGGTACATATACTTGAAGATCCTGCGTCAAAGAGCCTTTCACCCAGGCTCTTCTGCTTAACCTGGCTCAACGAATGCTCACAGGGTGATTATAGATCTTCCACTAGTCGATTCTGGCCCCGCCAGAGGTGCCGGCGAAAGGGTATAGAAGACCAATAGCTTCCGCAAAGATCAAAGAGCTGCCTACAGCATCTGCCCGCCACGGAGAAACCATTTGGTCAAAAACCCTTTGAGATTGGCCGGCTGCTAACGCTTCGAGCATTCCTGGCGCTGACAGACGACGTGTCAATATGTGATCAGGGAGGCACGCATTCGAGTATCTGAGGTTGCTCCGGTAGGTTGTGAGACTGCTGGAGGAAGCCAAGGTGCGCCACCCTAATGTTTCTCGATGGACCGACCCCTGACGGGCAGCATACGTATGCCGGATTCGTCTAGCTCGTAGTATGCCTCTTCACGCTGATCATGCTCAATTGGTCTAGATGGGTGATGATGGAGATGACGCAGAATCAGGTAGTCCACGTCGACAGTGGTGGGCAGTTTCCGCAGTTTCGGGCGTCTGAAACCCAACGCGATTGATTTCGGTCAGTGCGTTGGCGGTCAGTTTGTCATGACTGGTAGGTATATGAGAAGCAAAGTTTGTCAGTCCCGTTTGTTCAACAGGGATATGTTGGCCTCCCCGTGTCACTCCCAGTCGCTAAATCATAAGGGGCCTCAGCGTCCCGCTGTTGGTTGCAATATGAAAAGTGGCATGTCTCCTCGATGCAATGACAAGTCTGTTTTTCTTAGTTGGCGAGGAATTTATGCGGCCGATGACACCCCCAGTGGTAGCTCTCTGTGACTATCAATCTCACTCCACGATTAGTTGAATTTGCATCATGGAACACATGATAATTATTCTGGGTATTCGCTGGTTGTTCTAATGTCACAAGGAAGTCTTTTTTAAGGAGGAGGATACACATTTGCACTACAGAACTCTGGTTTTTGGCAGAGCGCGCGACACCACGCGACGCTGCGCGATGCCGAGCGCCTGATCCTCTGGATTGGGAAGGCATACCAAGATATCAACCTTTCGGATCTCAAGAGTTGAGATTGTTTTGCATGACTGGATGGTCCTTCTTATGTTCACGAATGGGCCTTGGGGAGATGGATTGCCCTAATGAGCACGCACAAGGACTTACGAGGCATCATCATGGATAATCGTCTGTCCAACATGTCGCTTGATTGAGAGTCTGGCTTTGATCAGTGTAAATTAGGTATGGTTAGGTGCATGAAGTCTGATGCCGTTGGGGAATTCACCTAGCTCACGTGGCTATCTAGATGAAGATATATGCGTTGCGGTCGTTCCATATACAGCCGTCTTCACAGACAAGTCCTCTAGGTATGGAGAGGAAACAAGTGCATCCAATTTATGCCGGCATTTCGGTGACACGGCCAGTCGCACCCCGCAGATCCCGGACCCCGAAACTCGGGCGAAAAGCCCGCGTCAGGCCACAGGCACAACCCTGGGCCATTCCAAGCAACATAAGCTCGCGAAAGCCGATCGCTTGCCTGAATCCCTCTCATAATGCCTTGTACTCAGGATACGGCAAAGCCCTGAGCTCATCAAACAAATTATGCACCTTACGGGCACTCCGACATTCCGATGACCATGACTTCCCCGACGGCGACCCATAACATGGAACGGCCAGGCGAGAGCTCAAGTGACGAGGATCCTGGCAGTGAAGAGATGACATGGTTTCGAAGTACCGAAATGGACCAACCCAAGCTTATCCCACACAGACTAGCCGTGAGAGCTCCCTGCCCGCTTGCACCAAAGGGCAACCAAGATGCTAATATTGACCAACCTTAGTGCGCCTCGTGCCGTCATCGGAAGGTAAATTTTGAGCCCATCGTCATTTTACCTGCCATTCAGTGATGCGAGGTGCTGTCCATACCCGTCTGAATACTAACAGGAACAGGTGCGGTGCGACCGACGGGATCCTTGTTCTCACTGTTTGCGAACGGGCAAGAAATGCTTGTTTCCCGCAGGGTATAAACCGAGGAAGAAGCGCCAAAGCTTGCCGGGCTCTGTTAGAGAGTACGTCTGGATGCGAATCTCGCCATGTTCTCAGTCTTTCTCTTGATTTCAGTTAAACTGGCTTACTTCTGGCCCCAGGGACGATAAACTCGCAGAGATATCCAGAAAGCTGGACTCGATTTGCACCCTGGTTGAAGGTTTTGGCAGAACGACCTTACAGGATGTCGCTTCACCGTATTCCCAGCCCTCGACTATCGCGGTCTCAGCACCGAAGGCGACCATGATCCGATCGCCGGACGCCCTTAGTAACGGTGGCAAACGGAACCAACCTTCAGAGTCAGAGTTGGAGGGCGAGTCATCGCTTTTCACGCAAGCTGGGCACGCGACCAAGTTTCTTCAGGATGCCGTTCAGAGCGAGCATGCCATGCACGCAGCCTCGCCCGAGGCTTTGCAGGCTCTTGACACGCTTCGTGAGGCGAGCGAAACGCGAGGCATGGTCGTGCCTGGGGACTCGGTCGGTAACATGTACCCACATGCAACGCCGTCGTTGCGCGGTTCGGGGGTCGGCGACAATGGACCGAGGCCCATGCCCCCGATAGAGATGGCCGTGGCATGTTTGCGGAAGCTGAAAAGTGCGTTGACCTACACCACCCAGTGCTGTCGCGTTTCCGAGATCGATATGACGCTGATCTCTTCTAAGCCAACCCTCGCGTCAAGTTTTTCTGGGCTCTAGAGTTCCAGTCCACGGGCGAATTCATCGAACACCTTCTCACGGTATATTCGACCGATCAAGCTACCGTTGCCGACCACATCATTGTCAATGCGGGCCTTTACTGGCTTCTCGTCGAATGCAGTAATATAGTAGATAGCCAGGCGCTGACCACCGAGTACACGAGGCAGTCGAAAGTGTGTCAAAGTAATCTTGAGACAACACTCTCTAGTCTGCCATTCGACATTCCGTCGACATTGGACATGGTTTTAGCCCTGAGCATGGCGGTATGTACAGCAATCGTCTAAGTGGACTCCCCTGTGCATAGATATCACAACTGACGTTGAATACAGGCTTCGTACATGCTCGAGCGGTGCAAGCCATCAGTAGCCTGGGGGTTCATCGTCGCTGCCTCACACAAGAGCCAGCTGCTCGGCTTCCACAGATTGGCCACTCCGGGCCGCGCGCGAGCAGCACCCAAGAAACGCAGCACGCGGATCTTCTGGGTCATCTACATTACAGAGAAGATGCTTTCTCTCAGGCTGGGGCGTCCATCAACCATACGGGACATCGATATTAGTGTGCAGCTGACAGCTGACGTGCTCGACTCGGACGGCGCCGTGCTTCCCATTCCGGCGAGATGGGTTCACATCGCGCAGCTGCACGGGAAAGTGTACGAAGAGATCTACAGCCTAAGCGCGCTGGGACAGGCCGAAGGTGTCAGAATCATTCGGGCCAAGTCGCTGGCAGATGAGCTTTTTAGGGTTTATCATGCCCCATCCCCGTCTGAGGTGAGTTATACCCAGGTTTGCTCTCGACATCGCTTCTCTACCTGCCTCATTCCCGACTCTTGGCTGACGAGCTGGTCGTGCAGACTTGCCTCGAGGTTGCGAGGCGCCAGGCTCTTGGGGAGTCGCTGCATGAGCTATTCACGCGGGCGTTCCACGTCTCATACCTGTCACTGTTGACGCTCATCTACCGCGGCATCCCAACGGACGGTGCAGCAGGGAATGTCGCATTCTGCGATGAGTGCATTGTGACGGCTCGACAGGCGATGGAGGAGCACGGTCGTTGTATTCGGCTGTTGAGGGAGCAGACAGACAATGTGCATGCGTTCTACATCTCCTGGTATGTGTCTCGTTTCTGCCGAAGAGATTCGCTGGGAGCCTCAAAACTTACGTATGGAACAGGATACTTCTCATGTCTCCCTTCGTCCCGTTTACCGTACTCTTCTGCCACGTGATCCAGACGTCCGATCCAACCGACCTCGAGCACCTAAAGTCCGTGGTCGAGGTCTTGCAATCGATGCCCGCCAGCTACGTGGAGACGTACAGCAAGCAGCACCGGCTGTTCAAGCACTTCTATGACGTTGCATGTCGGTACGTCGAGGTCAAGGCGAGCGCGCGGGAGACCCACCCGGATGGCAGTTTCGAGAGACTTGTTCGCGAGTCGGATCTCAAATTGCCAATCCAGCCGTCTGGCATTGACGCGGCGGAGACTGGGGGTGATTTTTTAACAATCCCTGGTGCTTCGAGTACTTTCGCCGGGACAGAGCAAATGGATTTTGGGGGTGCACAACTGGGGGATTGGTATGCTCAGAATCAAGACATGTTAAGGATGATGGAGGGTGATTTTCATGGATACATAGACCAGAGAGACGCTTAGGATACTCGTGGTTTTATTGTCCGAACCATTCGAGCATCTTCGTCAACTTTGTTCCTCCTCCAGTATTTCTGGAAGTCTTTTTACATCTGGAGAAGGTTTCCAAATTTCTTGTAGGAGCACCAACTTCGTCGCCAAAAGACGACATTGACTTCGTACGCAAATCTCCACTGTACCACTCTTGAAGGATCCCTCTTATCCACCGTGGCGTGCCAGCCGCAATCGCTCGCACTTTCGGGGCCCGAATTTCCGGGAGAGCGAGATGCCGAAGCCCCGGCAGCCTGATGTCCGGGCGGCCGACTGTGCAATTCCACTGATCATCCCGACTCGCAGTCACGAAACGTGTTTGATTGCTTTGGGCTGTAATCAGCGCCTGTTTTTCTTCTGTGATCTCTCTTAAGTAACATCTCTCCTCTTCGTGTGATTTAGTTCTCCCCTATAAACTCCCCCCTAACCGTGTCGATTCCTCGCGGCACCTGTTCCTCAGGACTCTCATTCATCTGGCAACAATACGGCAATACTATCATTCATTCATTCAACTACATAATAGACAGCTGCGACTTTTACGATGAGCCCGCCGGAAGCAGGGGTCCGAAACGGTGCCGTTCCAACGAATCAAAACCAACAGGGAGCGACTCCCACGGATACGCAATCTGAAGGAACGGGCGTCGAAGACATATACCCCCAGCCCAATGAAGTCGCCGACGATGGCTTAAGCCAGGAAGAGTGCATGGAAGAAGAGATCACTCAGCTTGCTCGCCGATTTACCTCCCATTCTCAACACCAGCCGTCGCTCTTCCCGCTTCCAACTAATGGCCCCCTGAACCCTGAAAGCCCCGACTTCAACCCCAGAAAATGGGCCAAGGCCTTTTTCGCCCTACGCAGGGGTTGTGGTGACGGCGTGCCCCCTCGAACCACTGGCATAGCCTTTCGGGACCTTAGCGTCTACGGCTTCGGAACGGCGACGGACTATCAAAAGACGGTTGGCAACCTCGCACTTGAGGGCGTCACAGTTTTCAAGAAACTTCTGCTGCAGCAGAAGCAGCAGCGAATCGATATTTTACATAACCTCGAAGGCGTCGTACACAACGGTGAGATGCTTGCTGTGCTTGGCCCCCCTGGTTCAGGCTGCTCGACGCTTCTGCGCACCATCGCCGGAGACACCCATGGGTTCCACGTCAGCGACGATACCACCATCAACTATCAGGGTATACGAGCGGAGCAAATGAAGACTGCGTTCCGAGGCGAAGCGATCTATACTGCCGAGGTTGATGCCCATTTTCCCCACATGACCGTGGGAGATACCCTTTACTTCGCAGCACTCGCTCGTTGTCCCAAGACAATTCCAGACGGCGTCTCTCGCAGCGAGTATGCAGAGCATCTGCGTGAGGTTACTATGGCCATGTTCGGAATTTCTCACACCAAAAACACACGTGTCGGAGATGATTTCATCCGAGGTGTCAGCGGTGGTGAGAGAAAGCGAGTTACGATATCGGAGGCCGCCCTCAGCCACTCGCCGTTGCAGTGCTGGGACAATAGTACGCGTGGTCTCGATAGTGCTAACGCTCTCGAGTTCTGCAAAACACTTCGGACGCAAGCTGATATTCTCGGCTCAACGGCTTGCGTCGCAATTTACCAAGCATCCCAGGACGCGTACGAGGTGAAGGCTTTCTGCTAGGAAGATAGTAGAGATTACGATATTAACTAAAGGCTATAGGTTTTCGATAAAGTTATTGTTCTATACGAAGGTCGGCAGATCTTCTTTGGCCGAACGGAAGAGGCGAAAGCCTATTTCGAAGGGCTTGGGTTTATCTGTCCAGAACGTCAGACGACAGCCGATTTCCTCACATCAATGACCAGCCATCAGGAACGCGTTTTACGACCTGGCTGCAATACCCCGCGCAGCCCCGACGAGTTCGCCGACGCATGGAGACAGAGTGAGCACCGACTTCGGCTCGTGAACGAGATCGATAACTACCTTGACCAGCATCCTTTCAACGGCAAGCATTACAATAGCTTCCTGGCCTCGCGCCGGAGTGATCAGGCAACTTCCCAGCGCGAGAGCTCTCCCTTCACTCTATCGTATTGGCAACAAGTGAAGCTCACTTTATGGCGTAGCTGGGTTCTGCTTAAGAGCGATCCGAGTATGACTTTGACCATGCTCGTCACCAACATCTTCATGGCCCTTGTCATGTCCTCCATCTTCTACAACATGCCGAACGACTCCAGCAGCATTTCAAGGCGTGGTACTCTCATGTTTTTCATCGTCCTGACTAATGCCTTTGGCGGTATGTTGGAAATTATGACTCTCTATGCTAAAAGGCCTATTGTCGAAAAGCATAACCGATACGCCCTATACCATCCGAGTGCCGAAGCCTTAGCGGCTATGATTGTCGATTTACCCTACAAGACGGTTAATTCGATTTTGACTAACCTCGCGATCTATTTCATGTGTAATTTACGACGTGAGGTCGGGCCGTTCTTTTTCTTCTTCCTGGTCATCTACATCGTAACACTTACCATGTCGATGATGTTCAGGCTTATGGGTTCCCTCACGAAAACTATTGCGCAAGCTCTAGCACCGGCCTCTGTCATCCTACTCGTCATCTGTCTGTACACCGGGTTCGCCATCAGAATCCAATACATGCAGGTCTGGCTAGGCTGGCTACGCTGGATTAACCCTGTCCAGTATGGATTTGAGAGCCTGCTTGTGAACGAGTTCGTCGGACGCGCATTTCGCTGCGTCGCGTTTGTGCCAGCCGGCCCCGACTATGGATCCGTCGAGCCCAGCCAGCGCGTCTGCACCGTCGCCGGCTCGACCCCTGGCTCGGACTCCATTGAGGGTGCCGCGTATATCAATGCTTCGTATGGATATCAGAGCGCCAACAGGTGGCGCAACGTCGGTATCATGATCGTCTTTGGCATCGCCTTCATGGTTGGACACCTGGTAGCCGCGGAGTACGTGGCTTCGGAACGATCTAAGGGGGAGGTCTTGGTCTTCAGGCGCAAAGCGATAAGCTCGCGGGGAAGAAAAGCTCAGGACGTCGAGAGTGGGTCGAGCAATCGTCCAAGCGACAAGAATCCCAACGCTGGCTATTCCTCTGGGGACGCCGCAAACATGGAAAGGGCTACATCAATATTCCACTGGAAGGACATCTGTTACGACATTAAGATTAAGGACGAGCCGCGCAGGATTCTGGATAACGTTGATGGCTGGGTCAAACCCGGAACTTTGACGGCACTCATGGTACGTCGAACTGATTTTCACGCCCCTTAATCTACGTCGCACTTACATGTCACAAAAGGGAGTTTCTGGTGCGGGTAAAACAACGCTTCTAGATGTCTTGGCGAGCCGAGTGACCATGGGCGTCATCTCAGGAAGCATGCTGGTGGACGGAAACCCTCGGGATGCTTCGTTCCAGCGTCAAACGGGATACGTCCAGCAGCAAGACTTACACCTACATACTTCGACCGTTCGAGAGGCTCTATCCTTCAGCGCCATGCTACGGCAGTCTTCGAAATACTCACGCCAGGAAAAGCTGGATTACGTCGACACTGTCATCGGTCTCCTGGATATGCAGCAGTATGCCGACGCCGTGATCGGTGTCCCTGGCGAGGGCCTTAACGTCGAACAACGCAAGAGACTCACTATTGGGGTCGAATTAGCTGCAAGACCTCAGCTTCTTCTTTTCCTCGACGAACCTACCTCAGGCCTCGATAGCCAGACCTCGTGGTCAGTCTGCAACCTAATGGAGAAGCTTACCAACAGCGGCCAGGCTATCCTCTGCACGATTCATCAGCCCTCGGCTATCCTATTCCAGCGTTTTGATAGGCTTCTTCTCCTCGCCCGGGGGGGTCGCACAGTTTACTTTGGTCCTATCGGGAAGAACTCCCAGACTCTGAACGATTACTTCGTCCGCAACGGTGGTCCTGCCTGCACACCGGAGGCCAACCCTGCAGAGCACATGTTACATGTGATTGGTGCAGCTCCGGGAACACACAGCGAGATCGATTGGCCGGATGTTTGGCGACGCAGCCCAGAGTACCGAGGCGTACAGGATGAGCTCGAGAGATTGGAAGCCGGCCGTCGCCCTATCGAAGAAAATCAGGACTTATCTAAGTTTTCGGAGTTCGCTGTGCCCTTGAGTCTGCAATATAGGGAAGTTTGCTGGCGCGTCTTCCAGCAGTATTGGCGCAGCCCATCATACCTAATGTCCAAAGCCTTCCTATCCTGTGGAGCTGTAAGCCATCTACTATCACTCCTTGTTGAACTATATTTACTAACTTGACCAGGCGCTATTCATTGGCTTATCTTTTCTAAACATTAAAAACACTCAGGACGGCCTTCAAAACCAAATCTTTGGAGTGTTCATCTTCCTCACAGTTTTCAGTCAGCTCGTCGACCAAATCCTACCTATTTTCGTTTCTCAGCGAACCATGTACGAGGCTCGCGAGCGCCCATCCAAGACGTACTCTTGGGTGGCCTTCCTTGGCGCGAACATGCTCGTTGAAGCATTTTGGAACTCAGTGAGCACATGATGTGATTCCTTTACACCTTTGGCCTGCTAACAGAACGAACTAGCTTCTTTCAGTATTGAGCTACATACTATGGTACTTCCCAATGGGCCTTTACCAGAACGCCCGACAAACTGGCGCGGAACATTCCCGTGGTGTGACGGTGTTCCTTTTCGTTTGGGTATTTTTCCTCTTCTCAAGCACCTTTGCCCACCTCATTATTGCCGGCCTAGACAGCTTTGAGGTGGCTGGAGGCGTCGTCGGTCTCATCACCGTTCTGATGTTCTCTTTCTGCGGGTAAGCCTCTATTTGCTAGATCTTGCCTAAGTCACCACAAGGCTCGTTTCGCTAACTTCGTCTCAGTATCTTGGCCGGCCCCAAAGTCCTGCCTGGTTTCTGGATCTTTATGTACCGTGTCAACCCATTCACATACTTCGTCGAAGGCTTCCTGGGCACGGCGCTTGCAAATGCAGCGGCCATCTGCTCTGACAACGAGTACGTCTCTTTCAACGTCCCGAAAGGAAGCACCTGCGGCGAGTACATGCAGTCATACCTTGAGATAGCCGGAGGCTTCGTCGAGGACCCTGATAGTACTGGCCGGTGCCGATTCTGTGCCATTGCCGACACGAATACGTTCCTTTCTGGCATCAATGTGGACTTTGCAAACAGGTGGCGCAATTTTGGCTTCATGTGGGTGTTCATCGTCTTCAACGTGGTTGTCGCAACGGCACTATATTGGCTGGCTCGTGTGCCCAAAAAGTCCAAGGTAAAGAGTGAGTAACAAGTGTTTATAGAGGTTGTGGTAATCAGATTCGGGGTTGAGTGCCAGCCCGACGCTCTCGATAGATTTGCCCGCGTTTTGTCGGCTCTCTGTTTTGTTTAAAGTTGGTGTTTTCTTCGCGATTCCTTTGTATCCGCGTATTCATAATGGTATGTTTGCTTTGAAGAGCAGTAATATTTAGAGAAACAAATTGCAAACACGTTTTCATCAACAAGATCGCTTGGTTGTTTTGCTAAATTCGCTCGCTTCCTGGTTTCCTCATCGATGGCTGAGATCATAACGCTATTCGCACGACACAAGTTGAACGAGGACCCAGCGAAGCAATTGTGCGAGAGATAAAGAGAGACGAAATCGATTTTGGTCCCCCACGAGCATCGCCCAGGCCATAGACCAAGTAACGCAGCCTCATCAGAACGAGTTGCACAGGCTTGCTTGTGAGTTTGATAGCAGCAAGCAGCAATTTGCAACTCTACACCAAGCCACTGAAAAAAGCTTCGTCTAGTTGCGTTCATGTAGTGGAGGCTGTAACGTCCCTTTTCTTAGTATCCCCTACCTTCTGCCTTCCCGCTCATCTCTGTATTTCCCTCGTTCGCAAGTGTTCCTGTGGGCTTGAAATGTGTTGCAGGCACTCTTGAAGGCGATTCTCCAAGTCTTTAGAGTCCTTTTTCCGGCGACTGAAGTGACGCTTGCTGTTTGAGATACGGGGGTGAAGGGGATGGTGACGTGTTGGGCATAGGTCCAGGATTACGTAATATTTAGTCGGCCGGTGGCCTTGATAGAGCTTGTCGAAGTTAAGAGCTCCCTTGTGTCAGATCTGGTGCAGCGCTCAGAGATGGGTGTAAAATCAATGGCATCTGCCATGAAGGTGCCGCAAGAGCTTATGCCTACTTTCACGTCCTACATGCGCAGATTGCCGGTTGATACGGTTGGAAAGACAGTGCATGCTTTCCATATAAACGTTCAAGTTGTCGTCAACATGCATCTTTCGTGAGCGCGGGCACTTTATTAGCGTGAAGCATAAGATGATATTGCTAAGGTAATATAGCTAGGATTTCTCGACTTGAGGCGACTACTCGTGCCTAGAGCCTGGCTGGGCATTGCCATCGCTGGCTCCAGAAGTAGTGCAGACCCTTGCACATACTCTCATCACCCGAACACCCAAACCTGCTCATTCTGCGAGCATCGGAAGGTGGGCTAGATTTTTCAAATGGCAAGGAATATGTCCATTTACCATGCTGATCAGATCATGACTCCTCTTGCCCTCCTCAAACGCTTTTTGTCGGGGAGGTTCAGTGAAGCGCCGCCCTACCTACTCACTTACATCTAGGAGGAAAGGTCTAACTTGCGTGATGCTCATCAGTATTGATGGGTGTGCCAGTAACACGGTTGAATTTTACTCCATGCAACGGAGATGAGGCAATGACGACGCTATGCTTCATAAATCCTAAGTCATGTTTAGCAGGCCCAGTTCAGTCCGTTGCTCGGCGAGTTTAAAGGAGCTCACATTATCAAATTATTTGCAACGATAGAAGAGAATCTGAGAATACTTTAAAGTTTATTGCGCCAATTCGAGACCTGACTAAAAAGACTTGGACAAACGAGCGCGACTTGGCCTCCATCGCATGTGTGACCAACCCCGAGACGGGCTGAAGGAAACCTCAAGTCTTCTCAATCTTATAGCCCCCCGCGCAAAGGCGCTGGAAGGTTTTCTTGGGGTCGTACTTGGTCGATATATTTCGCAGTTTGGTCCAGTTCTCTTTGCCGTAGCTCGCAATGACGTCGTCATCTGGTCCTGCGTTGTTCATCCAAATCTGGGGCATCAATACGCCGCGAGCCTGTGCGGCTTCTCTAAGCTGAGCGATGCATTGCTTTCCAGCACTCAGCATGTACTCAGTGTCTTTCTCATGCAGCCATGCGTTGTCGAGAAAGACAACTGACATGATATTAATACACCGGAACTGCCACAGATGGGGGGTGAGGGTCCTACTCACTGCATTGATCTTCTTCGGCCCAGCCAGGAGGGTTCCCGCCGCGCTGATTCGATTCGCGCATGGTTTGGCCGGAGATTGCTGACATGTTCATGGTAGCAGATGCATTGGTAACTTGGGAGATATCTTTGAACGCATCGTGGAATATATCAACGGCTTCGTAGTAGAACTCAAGATTCGCCTTGACAGTCAAACAAAGCATCGAAGACCTTATTTTGTTAACATCATCGGCAATGAGCATTCGCGGGGGTTGGAACTTGCCGTGTGCTCTCGGAAAAGTATACGTTTGGCTCTCCGCTGGCCGCAGTTGCGGTTGGATCATCATGATAGGCCAGTTGGAAAGGCGTGCAGTTCCTGGTCAGGACCGACTCTGGGTTCAGGTCGAAGAAGCAGTCAAAAGCCCTGGGGTGAGTTTTCTCGAAGACGTGTCTATCCGCCGAAAGTACACTCTGGAGGTACTTGCGACCCCCCGTCATGGTCCAGCCTGTAAGGGACTCGACGCCAGAGTCTTCCAGCAGGTTGTCTGTCTGGAATTTGTAAAAGGCTTCAGCCCACTGGCGTTGCGAATCCCTACTCCAGTTATGCATGATGATTCCGCCCCAGACCCCGTTCGCGACTGGGAAGGTCGACATGTCCAAGCGAGTGACGATGCCGAAGTTGTTTGAGCCGCCCTTGAGCGCCCACCAAAGATCTTCGTTTTCGTCCTTGTTGGCGTTGATAATCTTTCCGCCCGTTGTGACGACCTCGAAGTTCACAACATTGTCGCAGGACCAACCGTACTTATGGAACCAGGGCGAATTTCCGCCTTCCAGTGGGAATCAGCATCTAGTCTTTTCCTGCGTTCTGATCACGTAACTGAGCCTTGAAAGAGCGGGAGGGGGACGACTTACAACCTGTAATCTGGCCCACGCAGCCGACGGGCGAAGAGTGGCCGCCAGTGACTAGAACTCCGTACGGCTCCAGATAACTATAAATCATTCCCCACCGATTTCCAGCACCAATGCGAGCAATCCTGGAGGACTCATCATATTGAAGACCATTCAATCGATCAGTGGAGATCAGGACGCCTTGCTCGATACTGGCCCATCCCGGGTTTGGAGAGTGGCCGCCGCCTCGAACAGCAAACCTCTGATTGGAGAACTCGAGGATAGCAACAGCTTTGGCGACCTCCTCAGCCGACGAGGGACGAAAGACAATTGAAGGATGCTTTCGGGCCAACGCTGACCTGTGGGACACTGTGGGTCAACGCATCATCTTGTAAATCGCTTCGCAAGTCATGTACGGACCAATTTCCCCTTATTGCCTCGTCGTATGCCGGAGTCTCGGGGATGTCCACAGCAGCAGGATAAATGGTAGTGAGGACATGCTCGGCGAATTTTCCAGGTGCTTCTTTGCGGCCCTGAATGCTTTCGATCTGCTGCGAGTCCAGTCCGAGGCCGGAAAGGAACTCAATCCGCTGTTGCGTTGTTGCGGCCATCTTGCGATGATATTTGGTCACGATAGGGTTCTACACCCAAACTCGACAGGTCGCCTTTGGACATATTTAAATAGCTCTGATAGAAGTGAACAACAGATCACGCCAGTGCCGTTACCCCGCTCCTCGACCTCCGCTCCTGCTTGACGAGCAACGGGACGGCTTCCTGGATGGAGACTTGGATGGCGTCAGCTACGGGCTTTCGGTGCCCGAATCTTCCGGCCGGCATTACAATTCGGGGTCCGGGGCCCCGTCCCATGCACGAAATCTGCCTGTGTGTTGGATCTTACTTTACTAGGCTGTGGCGCGAACACGGATTACCCGCTCTACCATACTCTCATCTGACCACCTGAATACTTAAGTTCCAGATCTGACTCAATCCGTTGCCTGCCTCCTCGTCCGTTTGCAAATGCGGTGGATCCCGAGCGCGCAGAACGCTTGCTTTTGCCGGGCAATACACCCGTTGTGCGCCCCTGCCACTGGATCTTGGTTTCTCCCACAATCACCGGCATTCCTACTTTAGTCAGAGTAAAATCGACTCGATAATACACAACGCCGATGTCATTGTCGTCGGCGCCTGACATTGCTGTTATCTCGGCAAGTATTGCGGCGCCTGAGAAGGGCGCACGCTTGATCCTGCTAGATGCCGCCTACGGAGGTGGCGCCTCTGCGCAGTCCGTTAGCGTGGTCTATGCAGGCGGCGGAACCGATTGTGTCCGAGTACCTCCAAAAGGAGGTGGCAACATCGATGACGAAACTCTGTGGGCTTTCTGTGTTGACAGGGCGACCTGGTTGCACTGGATGGAGCGTCACGGCGCAAAAGTCCCAGGCCTCGCTTTGTCCGTGGAAGCCGAATTACCCGACACCTAGGTACGAACTACCTCTATCTCTCAGGGAATGAGAAGTCCCATCGATGTGATACGTTTGCCCGACCCGCCCCTCGAGGTCATCGCATGCTCAGCCCTGGTATACCTGGCACGCCCTTGGGAAAGCCATGTTCAGGAGCGTACAAAAGGCAGGCATCCGGGTCATGCCCGCAAGCTGAGTCGAGAGCCTCATGATCTCTGGCAAAAACCATCGTATTACGGGCGTGGTCGTACAACTTACCAGTCCTGGTTGGATGTCCTTCAATCGTCACGAGTCTCACGCGCCGTGGTCAACAGCTTCAGCTTTCCGTTCCTGGGCTGACCGATGTGTTCCTCAGCCGCGCAAGAAGCAGCTCCCAGAACTTCGCCAAGTGGCGCCCCAGGGCACTCGCGGCGACAACGGATCAGGCAAGCGGCTTGGTCAGTCTGTAGGCGGCGTGACGGGCAATATGGACCGTAGTTCTGCCTGACGCTTCCTCTATCCGTCGACAGCCTTTCGAGAGAGCGTCATCGTCTCGCATGAGGGCCGGCGCTTCATCACCGAGCACATCAGCGGCCTGTTCATAGCTGATGGCGCTTTTGGCCCGCTTAAGCAAGCCAACGGTCGGTAAAAGGACAAAACGATGCGGGTAGGTACAAGCCATACCACCAAGGAGGACTTCTTCCCTGCGTTTTTGGCAGCCTTCACAAAGTCTATGACGGAGAAGAATGTTCAGGGAGGATTCAGAGGGCCTGGGCTTGCTTCAATGAGCCCGGAAAATGTGATTTAGACCTGGATGTAAATTACGGACGCCTGTGTCTTTCGGGGAGGATCTAACTACGCCAGCCAAGAAACGCTGCGGCGTTTGTGGCGAGACAGGACGTGATGCGCGAACATTTTAAATTGAGATAGAATCATCTCAAGAAAATAGTTCTGAGTAGTTCAATTGGTTCCGGGCGTTCTGGTTCACTGGGATAGGACATTTGTCGGGTAGCTGGGAGAAAGTGGCGAGAGTGGCCACTCGCTTATCGTGGACGTTAACGAATTTACGACGATCAATTAAATTCACCATATCGTGACTTAACAAGTCGACACCGCGTCAATACTTCTGATCACTGAGAAATAGAAGAGAGACCTTGTTGTTCGAAGTTTGTTCTCGATGATTATAGTTCCCATGGTAAACTATCGTTAGCGTGCCTTTAGTCTAATTAATTCTATTCTATAATGATAGAAATTTGATTCCCTTATATTTCTAGTTATTTTTATAAATTATAATATAAATTTTAGTAAGTAGAAATAGGAAAGAAGGTATAATATTTTTAAGCTTTTCTTTTTAAATATCTTGTAAGCTTCTATATCTATAAAATAAAAAGAGAGATAGCTAAAGCACTAAATTAAAGTTTATATTAATAGTGAAGCTGTTGAGAGGGCTTCACTGTCTATGCGAACCCTGATTCATTGCTTTGGCTGTGCCTGAGAGCTCTGAATACCTATGGTAGGTGATATAAGTCTTGTTGTGTGATTCCTGCCATCTCTCTGAATTGCCACTCCCTACGTGAGTCAGATGTACCCATCTAATTCACCGATCACGCAAGCTTTGATTCACGTCCTCCTGAGAGCTGTGAATTCCAGCCTCGGTGATCACTATATCGGTGATCCCCTACCGAGATCACCGTCCTAAGGGAATCCCCTAATATTGGTTCAACAGAAGCCCTCTTAATAAGTATCGTTCAGTAGAGGGAATAAAGCTATTAATACCTATAAAAATCGCAAGTGAATAATACTCTATAGTACGTAAAAGGGCGTATAAACCATCAGAGGGGGTTAAATAACCAAGAAAGGTGATATGGTCGTGGTCACGGGGACTAGTAATCTCAGATCTCAGACACTCAATTTATGGTGTTGTATTAAGACGGTCCCCCCCCCCCTCCCTTATTAGGAGGGACTATAGAGGTTCTCTATATATTATGGCTCCTAGTAATGTAACTAGGAGTCGTACAGGCTGGTGATCACTGTTCCGTGATCACCGAAGGGGATCACTCTCCAGTGATCACCAACCTACGGTCACGTGACAGGCTCCACGTCATCGCCTGTCCACTGTGCCCGTAACAAAAGGTATCTATATCAAGGAGCTACTCTATAGAGCAGGAAGGTGCCTAGAAACTAAGCTCTAGGAGGCACCTGGGCACATGCCACCTAGAACCAGGTGAAGGCCACCGACCAAGTCAATGCCAACACCAACCTTGAAAACTACCAACCAACGCCCCGTCTGTCCTTCGCGCTGGACTTAGTGCTAACGACCTGCGCCAGCTTTCGTTTGACGTCTAGTCGCGCGTATCTCCAACCTTTTCCTGTAGACGATTCATGCCAATCACCTCAGCATGTTGTTCTCTTTGTGGTGGCACAGTCATCGACTCGGGTGGGCAGCCGTTGTGGATGGCTCGATTCGTCGCGTGTGAGTATCTGATCTTTGAGTAATGTTTTGCTCGTCAACGGGACATCGCCTGACAGTCAATTCCTCCAGTGTACGCATTGAATGATCGGGCCAAGACGACCGCTTGTGTTTCGGGCTCAGGTCGCCGGAAGCAGCTCACCGACAAGATCACGGCTTCGTCTGCAGCAGGGGTACCCACTGAGCCCGACAGTGTTGATCCTGACGACGGCTCGTTCAGGATTAATCTTATGCTGACAGCGTTTGAATCGCACGACATGCCAGGCCCGCCACCGCCCTGTTGGGGCTTTCCTTTCCACGCTGCATGCTGGGAGATTCTGTCGCACGCCTGTCTTCAGGCCGATTGATCCTGGGTCCAGACCCTCTTTCATCTTTGCAGGAGCCTTCCCGTGAGTTCAGGCCTGCTCGACTGGAGGCATGACTATCACGGCTCAGACCTGCAAGGTGATGAGACTGAGCTCCTGCCTTCCACAAACGCGGAGCACTCAGGCGAACCACTGATCAACAGGAGAGACCCCCCTTGCTATCCCACGCATGACGCTTGTCTTTGGGACAGGAATCTCCAATGGATCAGATGCATCGACTGCAGTGTTGGTTGATATCCCGACGGCATCCATCAAGTCAGTTATCCGAAGCAACAAGGCGACGACTCGGCATATGGACACGTTTGCCAAGTTGCCTGCAGAGATACTCGGGCTCATCATCACCGCCCTACCATCATCCGACGTTATCAGTCTGAGACAGGCGTCTCGCACTGTCGCCCGCATCAGCTTGCCGGATGCATTTTGGATATCCCGCTTTCTTCCCGGTCGAGAGTTTGACCACGTCTTCGAAGCACGCCAGCACTTCTCGTCTCAAACGCACAAGAGGAGGTGGAGGTCGATATACAGGTCTATGCAGAAAATCGAGAATACCCCGTCCATGGAAAACAGAAACCGCGTCTGGAAGCTCTCAATGAGCCTCCGCCACGTCCTGGAGGGCATGCAAGGAAAAGATTGTCGAGGAACTGCTGTCCAGTTATATTTCGAGCCGGATGCGCCTGCAGCCACTACTTCGAGACCGCTCGTCACCGCTCATCGACTACTCAGCCAGCGAGTACAGTCCATGTGGAGAGGGTGCAGAGCTTTACATGAGCGCCGGCTCTCGTTGCCGCCTTACGACGTTGTTACGGTCTTCGTTTCCACCATCAACATATTTGGCAGGAGCTATGTCTCTGGTCTCCGAATCCTGGACATCAAGAACAATTCTCAACACTTGGGTTTCATCAATACGGAAAAGAAAATGCCTCTTCCAACAATGTCGGGCAGTTCTTTTCAAACCAAAGGCTTCTATCTTGCACAAGATCAGAGGGAGAACGGAGGGCTGGTCGTTATACTCAACAGTCGTCAATTGACCCAGTGTATTGGCGATCATGATGATATCCCCTAAAGCAGGCTTGTCTTCGAGTCCAGAACGAGCAGCTGTGCTGCTGTTATTGACTATATTCAGGGCGGTTTCGGTGTGGGCGGAATCGATGCCTTCCTCGGATGACGGACTGAATGGTCGCAGGCCTTCAAACTCGTAACACTTTCTGCATCGGCGGACTTGTCTGTACCGCTGCCAGATCCAGACTCGCGACTGGACCTGAAAGATCGGGCTGTATGGTACCTGAACATCCCAAATCCAGATCTGACCATGCTGGGCACGTCGGGAAAAATCTACGGGCGCAGCTTGTATGACGAAGCTGTAGCGCGTTTTCTGGTGTTTGGCAGCACTGATGATGATCACGCACGCAATCCCGCACAAGTCACCGTCCGAATGAGAGACAACGGCCCCGGACAATTCACTGATTTCCGTGAAATCATCATCAGCTTCGACCCCGCCGCTCATCAGACGCTTATTCGATTAGACCTCAGGAGCGAGACAGCGCCCCAAGAAGAAAGCCTGGTGATCGACGGTCCTGGCGGCGAGCGCATCACGGCGCCAGACTCGGTGTATGAATATAGCCAGCTCTTGGGTTTCACGGTGCGTGTGGTCCTGCACATCTGGATCACAATGCCTTGAGGCTAATTCTTGCGATGAACAGATCCGTACAAGCTTTGGACGCGCAGATGACTTTCCAGCTGGGTTTCGAGACGACATTTCACCTTGCGCATCGGTAGCGAGATCGGTGCACTGCCCGGCAAAGGAGAGCATTGTCGGCTTCTGGGCCATGGTAAGCTCTCATGCAATATTGAGTCAAAGTCTCGGCGTTGGAATTGAATGCTAACGCGCTCGTCTTGCTGTTTACAGACAGAGACAGAGAAAATCTTCGATCTCGACCTTATTTCAGCTCAGTCTGTGGTATGTAATGCAGGAAACGACGAGGAGTGTGGAGAGGAGCCCGCCGTCGTAGAGGGCTTGACCATGTTGCACGAGACACAGGAATGAGTCGGTGCAAGTGAACACGTCAAAAAAGAGATCATGGCACCCGATCAGACAGCATTTCTCGGGTTCTCTGCCTGAGCCACCTAAATGGGCAGCCCCTTTCGAAAGGCTTCGAGTCGGTCTCAGGTTTATAAGACTTTGATCCGCACAAAGGAGCAGTTGGACATCAGCGGCAAATGGTTACAAGGATTAAATATCCCGCCACGTGTGAGCGGGCGACATATGGACAGAATAAGGTACGTATGGTGCGTATGTACAGGCCACCCTCGCCGACTCTGGCGCCCCTCATGCCAACAAGCCCATTTAGCCTGACAGCCAACCCAGCAGAGCCTTGTGGAACTCCTCGGGCGCCGAAATCTGGGGCGAGTGGCCCTCGTCGGGGAACGTGATGAGGTGGCCGTTGGGGAGCTCGGCGGCGATCTGGGGGCCGAGGAGGTCGAAGCGGCCGAGCTTGGCGGCGACATCGGGTGGCGACCACTGGCCACCGATGGCGGTGGTGTCCTTCTCGCCGATGAGAAGCAGGGTGCGGGCCTTGATGTCCTTTAAGTAGTGGGCCACGGGCTGGGTCAGGACGAGGTCGACAATCTTGGCCTGGCAGCGCACAAAGGCGTCGCCCAGGGAGCCGTTGTAGACGTTGACGAGCATGCGGACCCAGACGTCGTAGGCCTCCTTCCACTCGCCGAGGTAGTAGACGCGCTGCTCGTAGCCGCGGATGGACTCGTAGGTCGAGGCGGCCTCGGAGGTGAGCGACTGGTCGATGGGGATGTAGGGGACGCCCTTCTGGACGTAGTCCTCGAGGCCGATGCCGTTGACGATGACGAGCTCGTCGACGGTGGCCGGGTATTGCAGGCCAAAGGTCGTCGTCAGCATGCCGCCGAACGAGTGGCCGATGACGGTAACGTTGCCGACGCCGGCGGCGTCGAGCAGGCCGCGCGTGTTGAAGACGAGCTGCTTGGGGCTGAACTGGTAGCCGGCGGGCTTGCTGCTCTTGCAGAAGCCGATCTGGTCGGGCGCGATGACGCGGTATCCCTTGCCGGCGAGCGCGCGGATCGTGCCCTCCCAGGTCGCGCCGCAAAAGTTCTTGCCGTGGAAGAGGACGGCCGTCTTGCCGTTGGGCCTGCACTTGGGCTTGACGTCCATGAAGGCCATCTCGAGCTTCTCGGCCTGGCTGACAAACGAGAAGACCTCGACGGGGAAGGGGTACTTCCAGTTGAGGCCGTTGAGGTCCTGCGGGAACGGGCCCTTGGAGATGGTGCCTTTGGCCTGCGCGTCGCTCAGGCCGGCGGCCATGAGGCCCGTCGTGAGGGCGGAGAGCAGTGAGAAGCGCATCGTGAGGTTTCAGAGGCGCACTCTTTGGCTGCGACAGTGGCGACTACAACAAGGACGATGGCACGACGGGACGGCGTCTAGAAGGAGGGGGGGGGGGGGGGGTTAAGGGTGACAAGACGAGGTGATTGATGTCGAGATGGAGGGGGGGGGCTGCAGATCACGGTTCGAAGCATCCCCAGGAGGATTGATAAGTGTGGTTCGATCCCACAAGCACACGACACGACCCCTGTTCTGCAGCATGGCGAACGGGCTTGACCTTCTGCTTCTGGATGCGAGTGATTTACACACGAGGGCTCGGCACGACGGTCTGCCTGTTGGTCGCAAGGCCGCCACCGACAGGGGCCCGTCCGCTTTTGGTGGTGGACTACATCAGCCTGTAGCCAACATTCTGCAAGCCACCGGTGGCACAGCAAATTAAGGTACGAGTTGGTTGGAACCTTTCTGGCAACAAGGCACAGAACGGCACCAGAAGAGGCCTTGGCGACAACCTCGCTAGCGCAGCCGTTGTTCCCGGTGCAGCCGGGCGCAGGGGTCTCTGAGGACTAGTCGAAAGGAGCCAGGCCTCAGCGACATGGGGTATGGGTTGGTGAGCTTGGGGAGGGGACCGCGGGTAGCCGGGAAGACCAAGTTCGGGTCCGGACACGCCAGAGAAGACCAGCGCGGGAGGGGCCGCGCTGGTGTGTTTAACGTGGTGTGTGTTAGTCTCTGGAGGGGCAGCTCCATTGCAGCAACGAAGGATTCAGGCGGATGCCATGAAAGGAAAGACGCAAGCATTGTTATGCTGGCGATCCCTGACTTCTTGGGGCCTGCAAAGTCTTGGACGCAGACCTGCGACGTCTTGGACTGCGAGAGAGGAAGAGGCAAAGCCTGCGAGACATACAACGGACATGCAGCAATGTTGGCTGCAACTCGGTCGCTTTTACCACATCCTTCCCCCCTTTCTCCCGCCAAGCACCGAGCATCCCGTCGTTTCCAGTGACAACGAGGTTCATTACGATCCGAACAAGACATGTGATGGTGGTGTGCATCCCGCATGCTTTCCCTCCCACGGTACAACCCCATGCCTCCTGTACCTTGCATTGCAGACCGCAAGGGGCGGGGTGTCAGCGATTGTCTGCATTCAATGCCTTTGTGAAGGACGGAAGAGAACTGTTTCTGGAGGGTTTGTGGCGCACAATTATATGACTTTTTTTCTCGAGGGTGCGCCAGCGGGCGCCCGTCATGTCGTGCCAGGCCACGGCCGCCATGGGATACATATACTCAATCTCCCCTGCTGTGAGGCATCTCGCTCCCCTCTGAGCAACAAGAAAATGTCGCTTCTGTCACATACCTGCGCCCGGTAGTCGTCCTCGCTGCACCAACGGACCGCCATCACAGGCCGACTTCCCGCCATGGCCACCGTCAACGGCTCCGGGGAGACCAATGCCAATCAGGTCGTCGTTCCCTGCATTGTCTTCTTCGCTCTGACCCCCATCTTCATCATCATTCGACTATGGAGCCGCATAGCGACGCGATCCACCATCGGCGCCGATGACTGGACAATCATGGTGTCTTTTGTGAGTTCCACCGCCTTGCTGCTCTAGTTTTGCGACGCCTCGTCACTGACGGAACACGCGTGCTCAGGTGTGTGTGCTGGTTGTCCAGATCCTCATGATGTTTTCGGTATCCTACGGTTTTGGCCAACACGTCTATGAGCTGGAAACCAAAGACCGGTTAATGGCGCTCAAGGTATGTCGACCCCGGGTCGCAGACATGCTAGCGAAACGGGCGTGGTTAACATGGGCGGAAACAACAGCTCTTCTACGTGGCGCAAATCTTCTACAAGCTCACCATCAACTTGACCAAGGCGTCGATCCTCGCCCTCTACCTGCGCATCTTCGTCCAGCGCTGGTTCCGCATCTGCTGCTACGTCCTCGTCAGCATCATCCTCGCCTACATGGTCGCCACGACGGCCTCGTCCATCTTCCAGTGCAGCCCCATCAGCGGCGCCTGGGACAAGTCGTCGAAGCCGACGTGCATCGACCTGACCAAGAACTGGTACGCCAACGCCGGCTTTTCCATCGCCACCGACATCTTGATCCTGCTGCTGCCCATGCAGCCCATCTGGGCGAGCAAGCTTCCCGTCAACCAGAAGAGGGCGCTGATGCTGGTCTTTGCGCTCGGTGGATTGTACGTGCATCGTCTTCCTTCTGTCTCTCTCTCTCTCTCTCTCTCTCTCTCTCTCTCTGCTGACAAGATGCTCTCAGCGTCACCGTCACATCCATCATGCGTTCGACGACGCTCAAGTTCTCCACAAAGACCCCCGACATTACCTGTAAGTCGCCCACACCAAGCAGCCTCCCGCTCCCGCCCCGGCCGGGTGACACACGTCCACCATCGCTGACCCGCACCGCGACGCGCAGACGACATTGCCTCGACGCTCTGGACAATGATTGAGCAGAACGTGGCCATCATCTGCGCCTGCCTGCCCATGTGCCGCCTGCCGCTGGCCTTTCTCTTCCCTTCGACCTTTGGCAGCAGCTCGCGACAGCGCTCGAGCTACAAGTACGGCGGCAGCAACAACAGCAACAACGCGGCCCGCAGCAACAACACCAACAACAACATGAGCAGCAGCCAGCACAGCCACAGCGCCTGGCAGCCCTACGGCGGGCCGGCCAAGACGGGCGGCGCCAACCGCAGCATCGTCCACCACAGCGACGAGATGAGCGAGGAGTACATCCTGACGTCGGTCAAGCGGCAGGGGTCCGAGGACGAGGGCGACGCCGAAGGCGATGCCGGGGCCATTCGGAAGACGACGCGATATGAGATCTCCTATGAGAGGGAGATGTCGCGTTAGGATGGACAGGGTGGGATGGAGCGGGGATTGCATGGGTTTGAATAGAGATTTATGGAAAATGCGCTATGTGAGGACACTAGATCTAAGAAGCCTTGGGAAAACTCCATGACTCAAGCTTCATAATCAAAGCCGTTCTTGACCTGAGTGTTTGGTTGGAGATGATGGGCTCAATAGAAGAATCGCCAATGACTCGTGCCACCACGGAATGTGACTGGTCATGCGGCAGGCCAACCAGGGCTTCGTTGCCGGGAGGTCAGTTGTCGATACGAGTTTTGCTTTCTTGTGTGACTTGCCAACTGGATGAGGGCAGCCCGATATGTTCGTATACGAGCGCAGTATTGAGCAGAGTTGTAGGTTTCCCTCATAATCGGGACGACCGTCTATGGAGACAAATAGCATAGAAGCACCTAAACCCTCATCATTCCAACGACCTTCCCCGTACTCATGGCCTTCAAAGCGCCCGCTGACGTACGCTGTCTCAGTCTAGCCACGGTTCCCTACTATACAACTTAGGCTTAGGAATACCCAAATAGACTGTTTTGGGTATTATAGGGGAGTGGATATTTAGGTTCTCTAGGTTACCTAGAGAAAGCTTATAGGTTGAATTAGGTTAACCTAAAAACCTACCTAAATTATATAGGCTTTTAGGTTAACTTAATTAAACTTATAGGCTTTCTCTAAGTAACCTAGAGAACTTAAATATCTAAAGCTTAGACTAGTTAGCGGTCTATATACCTTCCGTTATAATTTAAGTAGGTAGGAGCTCTAATATTAGAATATCTATTCTAGTTAACGTAGATCCCTCCTTTAACTTTTATAATAATAATAATAATAATAGTAATAGTAATAGCCCTTACCCTTAACTCGATATACTACGCTTTACTAATAGTAAGTACTTAATATAGCTATAATAAATAATATACTAATTTAGGAAATTAGAACGGAAAGCGAATATAGAATATTCTATTAATCCTAATACGAAGAAAGTATACGCCCGAGTCGATAGTATAGGCGTTAAAGAGAAAGAGATTTATAATATTAAGAATCGCTAGAGCGCTAGGAAGAGTTACGTAATTCGAAACGAAAAGAAATCTCTTTCTTTTCTTACTCTAAATAAAGCCGATTAAGAGAAGCGGCTCTAATAAATTAAGGATAAATATAATACTACTTAGTAAATTTCCTAGCTATATAATAGCTAATATACTAATTAATTCTAAGGACGCTAAAATAGTATTTATTTAAATTCACTTTAATATTAAAAGCGAAAGTTAATAAAAGGATTTACCTAAAGACGAAGTAATAACCGATAAAGAATATCTTAAGGCCCTAAATAATAATATTATCTAAGATACTAAGGAGAAGATCTAGGACCTAGACTTACTTATATCTTAGTATCTATTAAATAATTTTCTCTTCCTCTAATATAAAAGCGATACTAAATCTCTTACCTAGCTCTAGAAATTCTACTCTAATTATAAGATTAAGTATAATAGTATATTTAAGTAGTTTCTTTCTCTTTTAAAAAAGGTTTTACCTCGGGCTTTAGAGAAAAACGATTTTACTTTTAATATAGCTATTCTTAGAGTAAATTATAGCTATTATAAAGTTATTATATAGGCTAATAATTTTAGAATACCCTTATAAAAGCGAGCTTTATAATCTAATTATAGACGTAGAATAAATTAATTAAATATTTTTAATTAAAGGCTAGAACTATTATAGGTAATAGTTATATTTAGAAGAAGGATTATATCTCTCTTAATAAAATCTTAGACGAAAACGAGAGAGTTATCTTAAAGTATATACTTAAGATCTATAATCGAAAGGTTATCCCTTATAATATACTATAGGATTTAGTCGCTATATAGGCTAAGGCTCTATAATATAAGGCGAATAGTCTATAGGGTTACTAGCTTACTTAGGATAGTAAGGTTTATATTCCTATTACGTAAATATAGAAATAATAGGAAAACCGCGAAAGAACTCTAATACGTTATTTTAATACTTTAAAGAAACTAATATAGAATCTCTAACTTAGTATATAATAATCCTAGTTATTATATTTTTATTAACGATTTATAGATACTCTTCTCTTAGTTAATCGGGAATAATTACTAGATTTCTCCGAGATAGATAGATAGGAGAATATTAATATCTTCCGGACTTTACTTATACTTAGTAGAAAGGAGGAGATCCTTAAGTAGGTAACTAAGATATTAAGATACGCTAACTAAATAGTTAGTATTAATTTCGGATTTAATACTTATAGCCTAAGAGGTTATTATACTATTAATATAATTAATAATATCCCCGTAAACTAAAGTATAAATCTAAGATACTATATTATAGATAATAAAGTTAGGTTTAAATTCTTCTCTATATATTTTTAAGATAATTAGTTAATAGTTTATAAGAAGCTAAACGAAGTAACTTAACGTCTATATTAAGTTTAAACTAATTAACGCTAAAGCGATTCTAAAAGTTCTAGACTAAAAGGCCTAAAACTAGAATCTCTAATATAGGGTAGTATTATAAACGTACTAAATATGCTATTCTATACCTAAAGTATAGAGACTATTATTTTAAGGAGTATACTCTATTACGAAGATTAAAGCTAAGAAGCCTAAAGGCTTAGCGTTTATTAGTTAATAGATTACTTATTAGATACGAGAGATAGAAACTCTATATTATTTAATAAATCTATTATATAGGTTATATAGAAGACTTTAGCTAATTTAATTTAACGTTATAAGAAAATATTCTCTAGGTTAGAAATAGAATCTTTATCCTAGAGTATATCTAGAGAGGAGACTAAGATAGGCTCTTTTAGATAAGCTATAAGTATAAAGTAAGCCTTAATACTCTTAGAAGAAAGGAGGGCCCTCTATAGAGAGTAGATATAGTAACTAAAACTCTATATACGTTCGAGGTTAACGGTTACTAGGATAATATAGAATATATCCTTTATTAGAGCCGCTAAGCCTAGATAAGAATCTTATTAATAATGCTAGAAGGTAGATATAGACTCGCTATATAGTAATCCTAATAGAATTAATAGACTATTATAAAGTATATATACTAATAAGAATAAAAGATAAATAAATAACGTATATAAACTAAGGAACTCTTAGATTCTTCTTTCTATACGATCTTCTATAGATCCGATAACTTAATACTCCTAATATATTTTTTAGCTTAGTTTAATATAGGATATATAAAAGCTATACCTTTATTAGGCTTATATTACTAAGGATATATATAATACTACTTAGCTAAGACGTATTTATAATCTACTTATACTCGAAGCGCCTATTAAAATCGGCCTTAAGCTCTAAATAATATAGATAATAGAGATCTCTTAGATACTTAATAGCTTAAAGTTAGAAATCTCTATTAAAGTAGTTAGAATTTACGCTAAAAAACTTATTCTATTACTAGAATCGCTAATTATTATAAGACGGTAATAGAGGGGATAATAGAGTAGCTATAGTAAATAAGTTAATATTCCTATTAATCTATACTAATAAGATATACTTATTTAGTTTCTCTTTTATAGCCTAGACTCCTTTATAGAGGGGCTTTACCTAGGGCTTACCTTAGTTTAAGAGCCTCTCGACCCTAGAAAGATAACGTCTAAGAATTAGGTAAGGTTTAGTAAGATTCTAAGATACCTTAATTTCTTATAAGCTAAGCTTATAAGTTAAGTATATAAAAGGCTTTATAATATTAATTATAAAGCTAATCTAGTATTATAATTCTATATTTAACTATAAAAAAGGATCGAGTTTATAATCTCGGGTAATATATTAATTAACTACCTCTTTAAATTTCTAAGCTCGCCCGAGTATATAATATATAGAGCTCTAGCGGGTTTTAACGTCTTAGATTAAATTAAGAGGCTTAGGATAGCTAAGCTCCTTTTAAATACGTAAAAAGAATAAGGATCTCTTTATACTATAATTAATATAAGTTAATAATAAGCGAATCTATATAGGTTAATATAAATAGCTATTATATCGGTTATTATATATAGTTTAGATAACGTCTCGTATAATTAGCGATAAAGGTATTTAAGTCTCTTTATCTACTCCCTTATAGCTAATAATAAGTTCTTTAATCCCCGTCTTAAATAGAAGATCCTATAAGTAGAGCTAAATAATATATAAAATATATCGAATAGTCCGGACTTTATATTAAATAAAAGCTAATAGAAGTACTATATTTAATTTATAGAGTCTTTTACTAAATAATATTTTAACCTTTTCTCTTAATATAAACGATCTATTATTACTTATAATACTATAGATCTATATTATTATACTATTATCGATTAAGGTATCTATAATAAAGCTATTTATAGCGTCTCTAGAGTATTAGCTATCTATATCGATAATATCGAGAATAAGATAGCGCCTTTAAAAGGTATTATCGACTTAGTATATAATAATCCCTAATAAGGAATAGCTAAGCTATAGTATAGACTAAGAATTAATAGCGATAGAAATATATCGACCTACTAGGATATAGCTTACGCTATATTTAGTAATTTCTCGTAATCGATCCTTAAACTATAGATAGAGCGTTTTCGGGCTTAATAGCTAATAGCTTACGTTTTAAAGCCTATATACTTCTAGGAGGTTATAAAAATCTAGATTAGAGACTATATTAAATAGAAGAACTATAGAGGTAACGTAATTAATAAGTATAAGCTTAATATATAAACGCTAAGCGGATAGTATTATATTCTAATAGTAGTTATTATATAATTATTATACTTAGTTCTAGATATATACTATTCTTACGATATTCGGGGTTATATTATTATTATTACTCCGATTAAGTTTATTTTAGTAAGCTTTTAAACTAAAGTAGCGTTAGAGAGCCGAGGTCCTTATAGTAGATCCTTTTAAAAGGTTTAAGTACTTTATAATAGTTAAGTAAATTCGGTAGATAACTTATAGCTCCCCTTTTAATATTATTATATTAATATAAAAATATAT